TTTCTCCACGAGAACAAATATTTTCTCACAGTACAGTATGTGACCCACACGTGTGAGAACGGACATACTAACATTTTACACTTTGTGAAAAAAAAAATCAAATGTTGTACTCAAATAAACTTGACCTGACAAGACACTTTTTTGCCCACACATACACAGACAACCCCTTACGTCTCATCAGGAAGATCATGGGTTTGAATCCTGGAGTGAACAGGGCCTTTTTGAGTGTAGTTTTTTGTCCTGTGTAAGTTTCCTCCGGGTGCTCCAGTTTCCCGTACCACTAAAAACATGCGCAATAGGTAAAATCCTATAGCTCTGGTCCTGACCAAGCTGAGCATCAACATCTGGAGATGGGTCCTGTGTGCAGTACTACAGTGACTACTGCTCCTGACAAAGGCATAGTAGCATCAAGATGGGTCAAATGCAGAGAAGCAATTAACCCTTTGGAGATAAATAAAATGCACCTTTACCTTTACGTTACACGGGCTGTGAGGTTCTTGACCACATCATCGTGGAGGAAAAGCCTTTGGAGGAGAAGGATGTGCACATTATTGTCCTGTAGGAAAATTTTACCTCTGCATTTGACCCATCCTGCAAGTGCCACTAGGTTCTCTATTAGGAGCTGAGGTCGCTGTGTAATACAGTGTCCTTGGACCCATCTCCAGATGTTGATGCTCGGCTTGATCAGGACCAGAGCTAGAGGATTTTACCTATACATAGTTCCCACAGACCAATGAATGTCACATGACCTCCTCGGAGACGCCATCTTTGATGGCACGCTGCTGTGTTTGTGCATTCCATTAAACAGAAGAATGAGAATAAATGTAGATATTCAAACGCAAATTGGAAAAAAAGGGCAACTTTTGAGCAAATAATTGTATATTAATACAATGGCACCACAGTTTAACGTGCTACGGACATGTTTTACATATTTGATCAAATTATGCAGCAAAAATTAACAAGCAATGCAAACATTTCTCAAAAACTTTAGATTTAATACCAGTTGGAGCTCCATTTAATTATTTTAATTATATTAACAATTAATTTAATTAATGCTAATGCCACACGGACACTCTGGATTGCTGTTATTGTTTATTTCTGCGTTTTTGACCGTATGTTTTGGTGAATGGTGGGGTACTGATTTTTCCAGGCGTAAAGAGCAGTTTATTTTATGACACAGATCTTTTTACAGAAGCAATGCTGTTTGTGAACATTGTTTTAGCCCACCATAGAACTATTATTATCTATTTAATACATTTACGTTGCCCTCGAGAGCCTCGGACGCGACACCGATCCTCCTCATAATAAAGTAATCTAACGCTAAATAATGAAACTCTCAAGTTACCAGCTATCAGCATACACAAGTTAGTACTGAGTAAATTACGTCTGTCAACACATTATGAGATACGATACGCACCTGACACAAAGTGCTCCGAGCATATTCTTGCGTGTTTTGAGGGAGTTTCTTGCCTGTTTATCTTCGCAAGCCATAACCTCCGTCGTAGTTCTGACAAAAGCTTAGTCTTCTCACATTCATGAAGTCTAATGATGGGTATACTGTAAAATCCAAGTTTAACGGAACCTCCGGCACGATTTGAACATCCATTGACCCAGCAGGAGATGACCATTTTCAACTTTATCACGACATTAACACGTTTCAGCTTCTTTTTCTATTGTTTTGCCCACAGCATGCCAATACAAATGGCGCCGGGTCGGCAAATCCCCGTATGTAGTGACGTCATGTGGGAACTATGTATTGTCCATGTTTTTAGTGATAGGGGAAACCGGAGCACAGTAGCTCAGTTGGTAGAGCATCAGCCTTTGGGCCGGAAGGTCATAGGTTCGAATCCACCTCGAGACCTACTTCACGACTCCCACTGATGACTGCTGTTGTGTCCTTGGGCAAGACACTTAATCCCACTTTGCCCAAAGCCCTCGCTGGAAGATCAAGGCTCCTGTGGACTCACCACCTGCAGGAGGATCAGTGAGGGGCTGGTGCTAAGTGTGCTGGGTGCAGCTCTGACTGCCACCCCCTGACCCAGAAATGGATTAAGGGGAAGATAATGGATGGATGGATGGAAACCGGAGCACCTGAAGGGAACCTATGCATACACATGGAGAATATGCAAACTCCACTCAGAATACCTGTTCTGTATCTGAGGATGATTTTGTGGATGATCCACATCAAGATCAAAACACATCAGATTCAGATGAAGAAGTGACTGAATGAACCAGAACAGGGCTTTGTTTCAAAGAATGAAAAGGTTTGGTCTCAAACCTGTATAATAATGAAGGCAGAGCAAAATCATCAAACATCATAAAAATGAGCCCTGGACCCACTCGATTTGCAAACTCAAAGATCCAAGACATAAAGACTGCATTAGAGCTTAAAAGTAGTGTTTTCTAAAAATAAAGTAGTTTTCTAAAGAACAAAGGCTCCTTTTACTCACAAATCTATGCGGGTCAAATTTGACCCTAACACCACCAACATAACTATTAATATTTTTATAATATTTATGTTCAAAAGTTTTACAAAAGTTATATTCTAATATAGTTCTATTATAGTCACAAGACATTGTAATCTATGGATTTTACATTTAGTATATTATAATTGAAAAAAAAAAAAAAAATCTGCTTAAAAATAAGGGACAAGATCCGTCTCAAGGGCCATAAAATCAAACAAAGATTAGATGTTATGATTTTGAATGCATATAGTGTTATTTAAGATGTAGTACTAACTATATCAAGTGATAATTCTTTATTTTTAGTGGTTAGGACTGAGTTAGACCCAGGGTCAAAATTGACCCGCTAACAACGGGCAGTGGTTCCGGTTCCTAACACAACATGAGGGCTATATGCACCCTGTGCTCCTGTCCCCTTGTTGCTGGTCCATTGTCTTTGTCGGTCTGTTATCCTGGTTCCTGAGTATTGTTTTGGGTTGGGTTGAGGATTGTTTCGCATTTTGAGTTTATCCCTGGACTTTTATTTCATCATCATTATTAAATCATTATTTTTTTGCATTCCTGTATTTTGGGTCATTCTTCCTTTCCACCACATGACATAACTGGGAATGACATTTTCCCCCCCTGGATATTTAAAACATGGTAACCCATTTTGTATTTGAGGTAAATAAAATATAAAATGGTTTGATGAGATTTGTGACTATATACTGTTCCAGCCATTTTAATTAGTTGTAATTTGTATTTGTTTTTATATTTGAAACTTTCCTGTTGAGTCTTCCCATCATTAGTTCTCTGGTGGAGAACCTAGGGGGTATAACACAGTGACTCAGAGTATGATGTGCACACACAAACTCAAAGCTGTTTAGTGTAGAACCGGTGGTGGTCAGAGAGGCCCAAATTTACAGACAATTTCATCAGATTTCGGGCAGCTGTCACCTTTAGAGAAGATCCTCGTCACTATGAGGAAAGAGTGAATAATGCAATGGGAAAAAAACACACTGAAAATGGACTGTATGATCTAGAGAATAGAATTATTTTTGTTCTAGTTTTAACTTGGAAATTCTTGTCCATAAACGTCCTTTCAAACCCTTTAAATGTGAACGGCAGTAGTAGCAGCAGAGTATTACTCATAGTACTAGTAATAGCAATAGGAGTAGTGGTAGTAGAAGTAGTATAGTTGTTGTTGTAAAAGTAGTGGTGGAAGCAGCCGTAACAATAGTAGCAGTAGTTGTAGTAGTCAGTCATTCTTAGTGATTATTATTTCTTTATCAGGCATAATTTTTTATTTCATCTGAGATCATTTTTTGGTCTTTTCACTAAAAGTCATAATTGCACAAACAAATTGTTGTCGATGAGAGTTCCCCAAACCTGATCCTGTCGGCTCCACGTGACCTTGAAGCTGAAGTGAATTCCACACGTAACAAAAAACATCAAGTGCACATCAGCGAGAGATACCTATTTTTAGAAATGGGCCATCGTTACCATGTGAAGCATGATAATGAATCAGCAGTAATTGTCCTTTAATGTCATTAAAAAAAGATGCTTTGACCAATGTATTATCCTGCATCCTTATTTTGCCTGAGAGCAGAAGCTTGTCACTCTGATTTAGTTGAAGGGTGTATTGTCACGGCTGATGTTATACAATATGACTAACCCCACTTAATAGGCGCCTTCGGCAAAAATAGGAGCGTGTGAGTGCTGCTGCTGCTCTCTTACAGTCACATTCACTTATTAGCAGAGCAGCAGTTACGTGTCTCCAGATGTTCCTCTGAGCATGTGTGGAGCTTTGTGTCCAGAGTCACTGCTGCTGCTGCTGCTGCTGTTGCAGCAGGACTGCACCAGTGCAGCCAGAGTCTTCTGTGAGAGAGGGAGTCTGACATCTTTCTGCAGAAAATATTATTGCAACAGAAATTAGTCAAAGTGGTATATTAAAACTGCATAAGAAACTACAACTCTTCTATGCATAATATGTCACCTTCAATTAAAAAATGGTTGTTGCTGTTGTTAAAAAATTTATCTAACATGTGATTGAAATGAAAAACAATTCACTAGTTTACTCTGTTTAGTTTTTAGTGAAGGAAAAAGAGAAAAACTCTTTTAAATCCTCAAACAAGTTTAAAACGTGTATTTATTTTCCACAATAATAATATAATTTCTATTGTCATCCATTCTCATGATATTTCAAAATACAACATAATTAAATAAATTAACAGGATACTTACACAGAAAAAAAAACAGTAAATTTGTGAAGTCACACCTTAAGTATTAGGTATGGAATTTCATGATAATACATGTTTAGTTTGTAGCAAGATCAACAAAACATCTTGATTCCCAAAAAAAGGTGGGACAAGAAATTCTGTAAACTCATATTAGACAGGAGATCACAATGGCATGTACACGTCTATGTTACTGCTAGAAAGGCACTGTCATCAGAAATAGAGCTCACGTCGTCATTTCAGCATTTCTATGACATTGAAAACATGTCAGAAGAATGCAATGTATTTAAAAAGGTGCAAAGTACAAACATAAGTGTCTGTGTCATAGATGTGGATGAAGATACAAGATGGCTCCTGCATCCTCCAGTCTTTTTAATGCCTCTGCTTCATGATTGAGGTCATGGTAAGAGTTCTGCATAGAGAGATGAGAAGCGAGCATTAGTAAACGTAATAACAGTAATGAAGAGCTCAGTGTCTCACCTTCATGGACTTCATTGTGTCGTATCCATAGTAGTGGATCGGATGTTTGTGGTTCTTTGAGCTTGGATATCCAAAACCAGCAACATGGACCACATCACAGTAGTTGAGTGCAACAAAGACAGCAAGGATTCCCGTGGTGGGATGCACTGGCTTCTGGAACATATGCAACACTGTAACATTCTCACTTTAGATTGATTCTGGTCAAATGTAGTCATAAACAATAATAGTGCAGTTTTTGGACACTCAAAGATTGTCCTGGTGTGGATTTATTTCTGTGTTTGGTTTTATTTTGGGATTAGTTCTGTGTGATTTAATTTCTGTTTTACTTCCTGTCCTGTTCCCCTGTGTCTGTCTGTGTGTCTATAGGTACTGTACCCTGTGCTCCTCTCCCCTTGTTGCTGGTTCATTGTATTGCCAATGACTTTCCTGTTCCTCATCCCTGGTTCCTTTAGTTTTGTTTTTATCTTGGACTTTTATTTTTTCATCTTCATTAAATTTCATCATTTGCATTCCTGCTTTTTGAATTCTCCTTCACTTCACCTCGTGACAAAGATACATCACATAAAATTATTCATTCACTCTGTAACACTCATTGTAACGGTAAACTACTACTGTATTAACATCTGCCCTGGGGCAGACTCACGAAAACAAGGCTGCAAATCTGAGCCATTGGCCCTTTAGGTCAGCACCAATCATTCATACACACACTCACACACACATACCGAACATCTTACTAACACTGGACAATAACAGCTTGGCTCTTGTCCTGCTTAGCAGATCTGACAGGACCCTGCTTACACATGCAGGTTTAGCCTGCTTCTGTTGCTCTGTGAGGCTGCCACAAGATGGCAGCATAGAGTCACAAATCTTTAATTTTCCTCTCTCCTCACTCATAAGCCTTTTCAGACTTATTACGCGCTAACATCACTTCAAGGTGAATGAAAAAGTAGGACTTCACTGATTCATAAAACGAATATTTTACCGAAATATTGATTATAAAAGTGCATAAAAACAACTTTTCACAATGGGTATTATATAATGTGAGTCTTTCCCTTCAGAATGACAAACCTATTGGCCAAACAGCCATGTGTGTGAATACTAATGACTTCCAAAGGGTTTCTTTGGGACAGATAGGAACAGGTTAGATGGATTTTCTTTCTCACTGCTCGGTGATTGAAAATAGGACACCCCAGATTTTGAAAAAAAGGTACTGTTGAATGCAAAAGCACATGATAAGACACAGAGTTCATTAACCCGTCTATGTAAATATGTTTCTGTGGGAAAGTTCTAACCGCTGGAACTGTAACCTTGGTGTCCATACAAGTATAAAAAATAGAATACAGTATAAACTATATTAGGAGGAATAATACATGTGCACACTTTCTATGTCATTACACTGCAGCAAAAAACAACCACCAAATAATAGATCAAACAAATGCCTTTTCTGTATCGAGAGTGTTCAATGAAGGCCACTGGTCAGCACACAGTAACTGTTCTGTATGTGCGCTCGTTTCCCCAAACTGTCAATGATTTACCTTTACCTGTGGGCCAGCTGCACTCCAGAGACAAAATCAGTCCAATGTTTTTTTCAATAAAACTGAATAGAACTTTTTGACCAGACACATTGCAGACAGGGACCCTCAAACAGAAGCACAAATATGACCTCCACTAAAGAACGGAATTGAAAGTTGCAAAAATTTGAAGCATCAAAACAAAAACTGTAATGTTGCTTGTTTGGGTATTGTACGTGTACATTGTGTATCTCTGACCTAAATACTGTTTAAAAGGATTGACTGAATAGTACTTGTAATACTACTACTACGACTAATCTCACAGATCTACAGAAAAAACCTTGGTATCACCGCACTGTCAATTTACAACAACTTGTCTTTGTGTGAATACATTTGTTTTACAGGCGAAAGACCATTCACCTCTGTAATTAAAGGGGCAATATGTACAATCTGGCCCAAAGTGGTACTGCACTCTCCCTGACTCAGACTGCCAGATAGGCAGACAAATTCCTGCCTTTTGAGATATTAGAGCCATTTCAGGATGACTTAACATGAAAATCTTACATTTTGCTACTTTAAATTTACAATGTAGGACAAATGCATTTCAAGCAAGTTGACATATGTCAAGTCCTTATTTGTTATAATGGTTTTAATTGACTTGTAGCTTGAAAAAACCCCAAATAAAACTTTTCAGAAAAAGTATTTGGAAAATGGACTGTAAGCCATAATTGTCAACATAATAACAAAGGCTTGGCATATAACATATATTGGTTTCACATTAAAAAAAAATGTATTGTGTTTTTTGTTAGTGTTGTGTGTAGATAAAGATGTAGAACTCCAGAGGTGGCAACAGCAAAGGTCTTAAAGGTCTCAGGTGCTTAAGTAAAAGTACAATTCTGAAAAGCTTTCCTTACATAAGTAAAAATCAAAACTTAAAAGAGTAAAATGCATGTGTACTTGTTTACTAATTTCTGAACTTAAAAATATGGCTAAACATGATGACTTAATTCACAAGTTTGTTTTTTATGCTACCATCCTTTCATTTTGAAATATAAGGAGTAGAAAGTTCAGATATTTGTGTTTCAAAGCCAGGAGTAAGTAACGGTACCAGAGGAAAAAACAGCTCAATTATGCAATGTTTATGTGAAAAAAGTTAAGTTTTGCATAATTGACCCTTGATCAGGGTTGTGTCTACAGTGCTCCAGGGTCAATTGTTGTGTAGGTTTAGCAGCCGAGAAAACTTCCAAACAGTTGATCCTATAGAATCCTGGAGACCACTGTGGAAAGTACAGACACCATGCTGGCCACTCTTACAGCCACTGGGTCCCTCAAGCTCAAATATGAAAAAACAGAAACTTCACATAAAAAGTTTCACAACGTTCCACCTCATCGCTTGATCTTTGTTCAGTTTACAGAGGTCTAAGATAAACAAAAACAAAACATGTGTTAAGAATTGATTAACTGGAAATCTTTGCGGTCGTTCAAACAGACTGAAGTCAATGTACAGTATGACACAAAAACACATTTAAAACTGTTGCACCTTGCCCTAAACTTGCAGTCCTCACAGCCTCACACTTCTCTTAAGTATGTAAGTAAGTCTTTATTTATATACCGCCTTTCACAGACCAGAGTCACAAAGCGGTTTACAATTGTTATTTTTGGGTATTTGTCCTCTCACTTCACACAGAGATGGGAGCGGGGCATGGAGGCGCATGCCAGACCTATAGTACATGTTTTTAGAGGTAGGGGAAACCGGAGTGCCCGGAGGAAACCTACGCAGACACGGGAGAACATGCAAACTCCACTCAGAGAGGCCCTGGTCCGACCCGGATTCGGACCCAGGACCTTCTTTCTGAGGTCTTAAGATCACTTCCCGTTTATGAACCAAAAATAAACTATATAGAGTTTGGTCTAGTTTCCCCCAAGTTAAATTACATTGATAAGTAAAGCAAAGTACAGTAATAATCAAATTCATTTTAGCAAGTGAAAGCAACAAAACAAAACAAAAAGCCATGCACAGCTGACATTCAGAGTATTTGCTTTATGTTGTCACTAGAACGCAGTGGTCTGGTGCATAGTTTGGACCGCGGCCCATGGATCCTTGGTGAGAGGGAATGAGGAGAGGGGTGAACACAGCAGTCCCAAACTTTAGAAAGGGCAGTAAATGTAATAGAGTGTAGCGTCCTTCGCATGAGCAAAGAGTAAAAAAATCCACATTGGTACATGTTCATAGTCCATTTAGTGTGTGTTATGTTGGTTCTTGGAAGTCTGCTACTTCCATTAGAGCAAAAGACAAAGCATGCTTGAACTGATTCACAAAGCTATAGTTTAAAGATACTCTGTCTTTCTAACAGACTGTGGGTAATGTAGCATTACCCACAGAAAAACGATGCAAATAACCAGTTCTGTTTCCAGTTTGCATCTGATTTGCTACATAATAATGCAAATCTCATTCACTCAGATTTTGTGAATGTGACTCTATAGTTAAAGACCTCTAGTTTTAGACCTGAAAATAGTCAATGCAAAATGTTAGCAATGTAAATAGTTAGTTGTAAGATGGTGGTAAATAAAGAAAATGTGTTGGAATGAGCCTCAGGGTAAGGTGAAAAAATATGGATGGATAAATGGGAGTAAAAAGTTCATGAGATCTGGAACTCTGTATGTTTTTCACAATAACATTTGAATAAAGAACATTGAATGTATTATTCTGCTCACTTTTGTTTATGGAGTCATATGTACATATACAATCGTATATGTTTTTGTTTTGCTGGACACTTTTTTAAACTAACTGGTGGCCGAGATAATGTCGGATTAGTTCATATAACAACAGTACAACAGTAAATACTTTAGATCAAATACGTTGAACCTTTGTATTTTTCATATCCTGCAAAGTAAATAGTCACAAAGAGTCAATGTCCTGGTAACAGTTTGCATTGAACGAATTGGATCATAATGAACTTTACAATTTGAGATATGAAATTGTTGAATGATAAATTTCAGTCAATGTTTTGGAATCTTGAAACCCATTCATTTTCAAGTGTCTGAATAGTCACTTACAACTTTTTTCCTATTGCTTGAACACATTTTGCAAAATGTTGCTAATTGTTCCAAAACTCCATTCACATCTGTCTCTAAATGAAACTCTACAATCAAAACTCAAACTCTGCTATTCATTTGTCAAAATGAAACTCTGAGGACAAAATGATGCACTTGCATCATGTGACTACACTTCCAGATGATTGGAAGAAACGCACTACACTACTTTATGTTAAACATAAAGTTTCAATGTCTTTCATTTAGACTGTTCTTATTCTGTTTATCAGTTAGCTTTCTGTGAAGCTCAATGGAACTGTTTCTGTTCTCAACAAAGGTTTACCAACAACCAAACATGAAAGTACTAATATATCAACTCCATACTGTATATCACAGTACTATAGTATACTTTACAGTACAGTCAATGCAGTAACACAAAAACAACCTCTGATGTAAAACTAGACAGTTGTGTGTTCCTGGTTCATGGTTCCTGCTGCGACTATTTCCTGCTGTTGGTGAACAGGTGTTGACCACTTCCACCTTGAGAAGGTCTTCAAGTCATTCTGTAGAAATATGCAACCACAAACCTACTATAGGTTTAGTTTATTTTACAGTACTGTGACATCTGAATGGTACAGTACTATGTACTTTACTATAAGTTTCACAAAACTACCATTTTTCAAAAAGGGGCGATGGCCAACTTGCAACACAGCACATGTGATACAGTACAGTACTGTAAATACTGTAGATACAGTTTGCAGTAGAATTGAAGACATGTTTGCATCTGAAGGTCCTGATGATGCAGCTGTGGCTGGACTCTCTGCTTCCCTCATTGTGAGGCCATGATTGATCACATGATCCACCAAAGTTGCTCTAATGTTATCAGAAATATCTCCTCCTCTCTCCTCGTCTTCCTCTTGCTCTTGCTCTTCCTGCCTCCATACTTGCAAAGTTCTGAAAATGGCTAAACTGAGGCTGGATGATGTGTGTCGCGTTCTGAAATGAGTGTTTTCAAGTGTGTATCTAAGTGTTCACAATCACACAATGTGTTTGGTTTTTCCCAATAAAAACACAGGATTGCATCTATGAACAAAGTATCATATGTATGACGTGTGTAGTGAGCAGGAGAAAGTGTGTTGCAGAAGGAGAAAATGTGTTGAGAAAATGAAAGTAAAGTGCAATACAGTAACGGTTCTTTTGTTTAAGGCATTGTTAGACTGTGTTTTAGGTTTGGTACAAAAGCTTCAAGTTCTGTAACTTTGGTCTAAGCATAGTGTTCAAAAAATAGGAAAAAAACTGTAATTACAATAGATCCCACATAAATCTGTGAGCTCCACACAGAGAGGGGGACATGCAGACCTTACTAAACAATTCAGATGTCCCCTGGTCACCATGACCCAGGCTGAGGTCCAGAGGGGTAGCACCCTCACTGAGAAGCTGGCAGGAAACCACATGAGTTCTAACATGCAACAGATCAGTGCAGAAGCAAACTATTCAAAGGAAGTCCTCCGCCAAAACAAGTCAGAGTTTCAATTGTATAACACAAAACAGATCAACAGAGCACACATATTCCTTGTTTACAAGAATGTGCCAATGTTCTATTAGAACAGTGTGTATGTGTGTGTGTGTGTGTGTGTGCGTGCGTGTGTGTGTATGCGTGCACGTGTGTGGATTGTTTCAACCCGTGGAACAACATTAAGGAATATCCCGCCAGAGCTCACCTTCATAACAAGTCAAAGGTTATCTTGTGCTTTTCTAAACGCACCTCTTGGCTTCTGTGTAAAGTTGTGGTGTTGTTTGTTGAATAGGGAAAATGGTTATTGTCTTGTTGCCAAAGTGCTTTTGTCTAATGGAAAGTTTCAAGTTTGTTTTGGATTTGTTTGCATTTATTTATTTAGTTATAAAGACACTAAAGATGTTTACAGATACATTGATTCAAATATAAAAATATAAGTTGGTAATGAATAAGTACACTTGTATGCTGCCCAGTGTTGGCAGTGGATGTGCAGAATAAAAGTCAGGTTTTCTGAGAAGAGTGTGTTTGTCTCTCACCTGTCGACTTGAATGCAGTGGAATGTGGAGCAGCCGTTCTGCTGTCTGCTCCAGAAAATGTGGATCCAGCACTCGAATTTTACTTGGGTCTCCCAACCAGATCTGAGGAGGGGGTTTCCAAAAGCCTTTTCGAACCTGAACAAAAAATTAGGATGAACAACAGAAAAACAGCACAGCCAATGGCTGATACATAAACACAAGCAGATGATGTGACTGTCATGTTGAAGGCCAGTAAAGTCGTGTACAAATTACTAAGTAAAGACCTAGAAGCGATTAGCCGTGGGAGGCCAGAGCTGAAGGCCAGTGTTCAGTAGAAAGAACTACTCGGTTTGATTGTAGAGGTTCAGCTGTGATTGGATGGCTGCGTCTGTGTGTAAATGACTTAATCTTAGTTTCTGTTTAGAGAAAAGTGGAGAGGCTGGACATACCCTCTTCTCATTGTAGAGGATCTCCTTGAGCCAGCGCAGATCCTGAAGTTTGAAAGGCACCAGCACCATGAGGGTCCCAGGGTCATTGTGCATTGAGGGGTTAGAGGAGGCAGACTCTGGGTAGAACAGCCTCATAGACGTCTTGTTGCCCACATCCTCCTCATAGCCTCTGACTGGGGCATCATTTAACCTGCAGAGAGAGGACAGGCAATTTCAGCAATCATGTGGTATAAAAATCACTAAACTAGAGATGAGCCCTGTTTAAAGCATGTAAATATCTGCATGACTGACTTTGTAGTACTGTGCGGTATGCAAATACATTATTGTTTGAATGTTTAGTCATCTTTTTATGGACACGTTTAGGTCAATTTTCTGAAGCCAGGTCATGATGTAAAGAGTCAGGAATGCTCTGAGTTTTAAATGTCAATAACCTTTTTTCGACTTAGCCGGGAAATGATTAGCTTCTGTTGGAGGGCTGTCTTAAAAAGAGGCTGATAGGAAGAAAAATGCATTGTGGCAAGGCCAAAGCACGCTGAAAGCCGCTTATTAAACCCTGGCATTAGTTCAGACTTGAGCTATACAGTATAAAAGCATAAAAAGGTGGGGGTTTAGTCACTCAAGTACACACTTTATTTGGCGTTCATTGGTCATGAGTACTGCTCTTCATCCCATTAAAAAGTCAGTTAAAAGATTTTGGATTGTATTTCTTGTTATTGTTTACTTCCTATAGTAGTTGTTGTTTATTTTAGTCCATCAAATCGTCAGTTACAGAATACATTTTGACAGAAAAAGCCTTGACATTAATTCACTGACTGAAAGGGTTTTGGCAAAAGTGATAAAGCCAAACCCACTCAAATCTACAAGAAAAAAGCAATCATTGGTTGTGTGTCACTGATCATGATAAACAATAGAAAAAAACATTTGAAAAATGTGAAACCGTGTCAATATTTATAAGAGCGCCTAACATGACATTCTTACCTAAATACTACATCATATTTGTTGATGACTTTTCCCAGAGATGTGTTTTTGATAGAAAATCCGTTTCCTATGACCACACAGGTTCTGCATTCAAGGCTGGAATAAGAATTGAAACAGACTGAGTTACTTTATGATCACACATGTATGGATTATATAACACATGTTAAAATGTTTAGATGACAATATGTAAAACCGTTGTCGTTGTTGCCAGTAAGTCATTAAGATAAGATAAGATAAATCTTTATGTCCCACAGTTGGGAATTTTCAATGTCAATGTTGCATACATTACAGCAGAATATAAGGAAGGAGGAAATAAGAGATTGCACTCAGATTGCACACATCAAGCAGGATTGATTTTTAAGAAAATAGATAATACAATAAAATGAAATACTTAAGTAATAAAGTATTCAGATTCAGAATTACGGATTGACTCCATTTTCCATTTTCAGTCAAACCACACCAGTACCGCAGTGTGCACCAGACATACATAAGACAAGCTAAAAAGCACTGTGTGAAATTGTCACTGTGAAACCAATCAACCAACACATTTTAAATAACTTACTATTCACACTTACTTTTCAACATTTTCCGGTTCCTGGAAACTTGTAATAGCAGCAAGTACTTTCATAAGCATCTGTTCTGAAATCAGAATGTCTGAATTATAACACTCCAATGTTAGCTGTGTAACAGTCCTGGCAGAATGGTGACAAGTAGAGCCAACATACCACTGCCTTTAATGCCATATGGGAGCGCTTGTTTTGACAAATGCTGTCTCCAGAAGAAGTCGTCCAGATTCAGAAAGAGCTGTGACTGTCTGCTGATGCTGCAAAAACAGTGGTGTGCATTTCAGAACATTCATGTACAGGCAGGAGCACAGAGCAGAAGGAGGAAGGGCAGAGTGAGTTTTAGCTGATGCACAATAGACAATACAAGCAACAATGCCAACGAGTAGCTGTGGTTTATCAACTCAATTTAGGCCTGAATATTGCCAAATGTTCAGTCAGCACCTGGCAGGGACAATACAGACAAAATCATTGTAAACCCAGTTTGACCACAAACAGTTTGTGCCAATGTATGTGGAAAAAAAAATGCAAAGGGACGATTTGGATCATTTTTACTGCTCTGGTTCCCATAAAAGAGAGAACATACAGATGTATTTAGTTATTATAGATTGTCCTTAGGGATGAATCGTCTCCATTTTAAGAGGGTGCTTTATGCAATATTACTTTGGATGTTGTGTCCATAGTTAAAGCTGGGGTACCTAACTTGTTTTCTCCTTTTTTAACACATGTTGTTTGTCTTGTGAAAGTAAAACAGGCTGCCTTTCTCTTATCAGAAAACTATTGCTAGTGTGCAGATATTTTGCAGACTTGTAAGAAAGAGCGTTATGAGTCACTATTTGACTCTTTTGGCTGAGGGCTGATTTGCTGAGTGAGGGTGGTCCTCCATTTTTCCCTTTTCTATCTAAATAAGCTGATCCAAAAATGTGACTAACGCCAACAAATACATGCAAAACTAGGGATGGATGAACTGTTTTGAGAGAGATGAGGCTTTTATTGCATAGTTCCATGTTATGTGGTTTAAACGTTAGGTACCGTAGCTTTAAGCAGAACACACAGAATTATCCAAACATTAACATTGGTGAGTTTTGAAAAATTAAGACAGTAATGGACTTGAACCAAAAAATCTTCAAGTTACTGTCTTTTTGCCTTTCAGAGCACTGAGCTGGCAACCCGCTCAGAACCTGGCATAGAAAAAGAAAAGGTTGGCATAATGTCTTTAATAAGGCCTCCACTCCCTCCACTTTCCACAGAAAAAGCATATATTTGCCATTACTCACTTAAAGTTAAGACTCTCCCACTTCTTTTGGGTCAGCCAGCCGTCGCACAGGGACTTGCTACTGTTCGGAGACTTGTTGGCTCCTCCATAGCTGAGGCGCAGACATCAACAATTACAAGAGGCTGGCAATGACACTTCTCATGGTTCACAGGCCTTAAGTGTGCCACTAACTCTCCTTTATGACCTCAAAGGGCAAGAAGAGGTATGTTGAGTGGCCTACAAAAGACACCACTTTCAACTATTCTTTTAATGACTCAGCGATACCAGAGGCTCGGAGCTCACCAGGGGAAAGGCATTTCTGTAATTATGTGACCTCAATACCAGAGAAGGGAAATAGTGCTAGCATGTGTGTGATTACCTCTGCAGTGTGCCGTAAGAGCAGTAGTATGTGACGAAAGAGATGCAGGACAGAAACACTGGGAAAAGCCTGAGGCACCATGCTGTGGACAGACAATACATATTAAGAACCAACAAGTGACGGTTGAAACCAGAAGTTTACATCCACCTCTGCAAAAAAAGTTTTCATCCAAGTGGTTTTTTGCTGGGTTTTTTGGATAAATAATTCAAATAAACCTTTTCATGCTTGGGCAGGTGAATCAATACATCAATATACGTCATGCATTGGTCCACCTGAAATGAGGATGGATCAGGGAACATCAGAGGATCAGAAGTTCATTCAATCATTCATTTTCAACCCCTTTTATTAGTCAATTTCTGGGTCCGGGGGTGGCAATGAGAGCTGCCACCCAAGGATCAGAAGTTTACATACACAAAAGACTATACGTAAACTAAGCCATCATTGACATCATAGCAAAACCAATCTAATTTGGTCCAATATTATGTGCTACTGTATTTATTTAAAGAGTCAACAGCTGTGGTTTTTTGTTTGCCATCATGGGGAAATCCAAAGAAATCAGCCAAGGAGAAGGATTGTGGAGTCTGGCTCATCTTTGGGAGCAATTTCTAAACGACTACATGTACCACATACATCTGTTCAAACAATAGTATCCAAGTACAGACAACATGGGATTGAGACACATTCTGTCTTCTAGAGATGAACCAAGATTTATCATCAATCTGAGATGAGACCTTGTAAAGATGTTGGAGGTAAAAGGTGTCTAAATCCAGAGTGACAGGTCTTGCACAGACTCATGAAAGGCTGCTCCAACTGGAAGAAGCCACTGCCCCAAAACCACCAACAAATTAACACACTATAGTTTGTCGTGCTGTGTGGGAGAGACTGCTGCACTCAAATGCATCATGAAAAAGAAAAATGACGTGGATATTTTTAACACCAGTTGAAACTTGTTTGCAGATGGATGTGAATTACCTCCAAACATACACACATCAAGAAGGACCTGTTTTGCCAAAATATAGACAGTAATTCTACCAAATATTCCCCTTGTGTATCAAAATGTCTGACCCTCCCAACCTCAATTTGCCTTTTAAACAGCTGATCCGAGACTTGTTTTATGTATTTTATATTGCATTTCTGCTCTTTTACTGTATTTATGCTTAGATCGTGTGCTTCTGTGTTTTTGTGTACCCTCACCGGTGCTTCGTCTGTAATTGAAGTTCCACACGGATTAATAAAGTTATTTTGATTTGATTTGATGTTGTGATGTAATGAATACAAGATAAACAAAGAAATGCCGAAGGAAATCAAACATTTTTGTCAGGTAATCATTTGACTGTCCTGTTATGTGACCTACATTTTAAAACCAAGCACCTTCTGTTTTTCTGGCTATTTTCAAAAGTTTTGAATAAACATTTTTTTACATTTAACATCAGTGTGCCTCAGATTCCATGTTTCACACACACAGTCTCTGGGATGTGTGTCGCTGCCGTCTTCCCCAAGTTCCATGGCTTTATCCTTGGAAAGAGTTGTTGGTATATTGTTCACTTACTCTCCCAAGCAGCACCCACATCCTCTGTTCTTTTCAATTATTCAAAGCATGTATTGATCCACCTAAGCTACTAGAGGAAGTTTTACATGGATTAAAAATCAGGAAATGTGAAAACTTCTGGTTTCAACACAGAGACTTGTCACAATAACTGCTTGGATCTTCTCAAACTCAGGCCTCACTCTATAATATGCTTTCAAGAACTTTCAAGAAATGTAATAAACCAGTCCTTGAAGTTTGCTTGCTGCTCTTACAGCTACAGCTACTTGCATTGTATATTTTGTGATTTTGTGTGCTCCTTACTATCCTGTGTGTTATCTTATCTTTAGTTGGATAATGCGTCGTGTTGAACAAGCAACGAACAAGAAGAATAAATAGATACATTCATAAATACTTAAATCAATGCACATTTCTGGACATGGCAGGTCCACTAGTGCATAATTAATGGTATAGGACAAATCATGTCTGTGGAGGTGTAAGTCCACTCACAACAACAGAAAAAAGCAAAACGACAACAAAATCCACACACCTGCTTTATTGTCATTATATTTAAGATGAATGGTAGCTTTATGTATCTAATCTGCTTGGTTTAGGCGCTGTCCAAGGTAAGGGTGCTGAAATGAGCATGACTGGATTATTTTGATAACAGCGAGTAGCAGAGGCTTGTCCAAAAGAAAACAGTTTGAACGGATTTTCTGATTTTTTTAAGTCACATCTCTATACCATTGTAGAAGATTTTAACATTTACAGTATAGAAAAATAAACAACAAAAATACATGTAGTTATAGTTTAATTCTTACTTTTCGCTGACTTCTGGGACATCTTCATGTGATCGTGGCCCTCATGTCTCATGCCTGCAGCCACATGGAGTTAGCCGGGTTCTGAGTACAAAGATGGTATCACTTGTGGTTGTATTGGAAATGAGAGGTTAAGGGAAACTACAAACAACAAAGAACAAAAGTGGCAGTGGTTTGATTGCGTCATAATGGCATTTCACTTTTTAGCCAGCTTGACACGCATAGCCTCGAAAACCAGTGCAGGCAGAGGAGCATCTCTGAATAAAACATCTGGAGAGCCAGACCACTGACAAAGCTAAATATAGATGATCCATAAGAAAACCTGTATGTAGTAGTCAAAATTTAGGAAAGTAGAAAAGTATAGATAGATAGACATCAATCAATCAATCAAATTTTATGTATTAAGCGCTTTTCATACAAAAAATGTAACACAAAGTGCTTTACAGTTTAGTTAAAAACAATCCAACATGCCCAACATGGCAAACACACACACGTTTAATATGGCTAATATTTCACGGTAAAAGTATTTTTAAAGCACATTATTTGTATTTAAAATAAATAACCCAAATATATGATTATAATTTTTGACCTATCTGTCTGCAATACTATGTTTGAGTTTGAGTACTTTTCAAAGTACTTTCAGGACAATCATTTTCTGAAATGGTCTAATCGCTTCATATGTACATAAGTATTTTTCAATTATTCTTATTTTTACTCTAGACTTTTTTTAAACACACTATCCATCCATCCATTTTCTCCCGCTTTATCTGTTGCCAGGTCGTGGGGACATCTGTCTCAGCAGAGACCGTAGACTCTAAATATTAACGGACGTAGTCACGCCTATCTCCGCCGTTCTAACTAATGGGCCAAAAATTGTGCTCTACTGGAGCTATCCAAAATGGCAGCGAGTGGTCCCGCCCACAGGAAAATTGTGAAAAAACGCATCTGCGCATGCGTCAGCCGGCACGAGCTCCATTCCTTTAAACGAGTGACTTCAAAAATCCACCCCCCTCAGCATTGACACACATGTGGAACAGAGTTTTGGGCCAAGAGCCAACTTTTGGTCCATCCTGTAAAGACGTTTTTGAGAGGTAAGAAGATGCTATATGTTAGCATTGGCTGATTCTTATTCCGGGTCCACCCCCATCGGCCCGGGGTGGTATTGCAAGCATGTCAGCGAAAGTCATTTTGGCCACTTTTGAGCCGGGACCCGCCCCCACTGGCAGAGACGGCCTTCCCTAACCACACCCTATCACCCTATCACCCTCACTCTCGAAGGAAGTGCCCAGACACTCTGCGGTGGAAACTCATTTTGGCTGCTTGTATCCACAATCTTGTCCTTTTGGTCATTGCCCTAAATTGAAAGCTTTGCCTTTTGACGCCGCTCCCTCTTCACCACAACAGTCTGATACAGCTCTGACAACAGACGCTGCTCCCTTTTCACCACAACAGTCTGATATAGCGACCGCATCACTGCACTCGTTGCACACTGTAAATGTCACGCTTCCATCCTTCCCTCACTCATGAACCCATAGACCTATAGATACTTTAAAAGGACTATCAAATCGGATATTGGTGCAAACACAATTTCCCTTATAAGGGGACAGTGACAAATTACTGTGGCTCACTTTAGGTCTCAACAGCTTTTGGCAGTTGAGATGCAGATGAATACTATAAAACCTTTTTGATCACCATCAGTTTGTTACAATGTAATTGACGGTTCACTGTCACTGCTAATACAGCATAAAAAACATTGTGAAGGAGAAAACAGGTATTTGTGTTTCATGGGAAGGTTTGATATATTTGCATTGCTCTCATTCCTAAGAAAGTTAAGAGTACATATAACACACATTAAGTTGTGTGTCCAAATGCCACCTTGATCACTGTCAAGGAGGAAGACCTTTTGGGCCCTAATAAGTGGAAGACAGTGCAATGTGATAAACAGACCGATTATTCCTGCTTTCACATGAGTCAGAGGGCAGAGGGTTTGGCTGGCCAGGCTAACAATCTGGTCTTATTTGGTCAAATAAGGCTTTATTTTTACAACACAATAATTACTATCTATGACAGAAAAAAAATAAGTAGCTGATCCTGAGAAGTCTGAGAAAGGGTTAGTGGAGGTGGGATTTGAGAAGTGCATCAAAGGAAATCAGTAACAAGCTGGAGTGGCACAGCTGAGGGTCTATTTTAAGGTGTGCACGTGTGTGTGCATGTGTGTGCATGTAATGTGCGACATTGCTACAGTAATAGTGTATCTCTGTACATTTGGACCAGAGAACGCCTCAACAACACTGCATGTCATATTTTACTTTTTACCAAACTGGGTGTGAATGTGTTGAACCGGAATTGCGATGGTGCAATGATTTCCTCTGCCACACTTTACTTCTTTAAGTGTCCCTTCATATACTGTACTTGAGGTCCCTTCATTAGACACTTTCAAATCTAGTTTAAAAACCCCATTTATGCACCATAGCTTTTCCCACCACTGAATAATTCATATTTTCTATCCCCTTTTTTGTGCATTTCATTTTTCTATTTCTATAACTTCAGTGCATATGAAACACTTTTGGCAACAGGTGTTTTTGAGAACTTGGTGTGTTTGGAAATATATGAATAAAGTTAAGAAATAAAGAAAAATCTAAGCAACTAAAAACTTCTCTTACAGAGGCAAGAGAAAATAATTAGCATTCCCAGTCTCATAATTAGTGAAGAAATTAGCCCCCAGAGCCTCTAAGTACCACCACATCTAAACCAGCTCTAAAGTGGATTTATAACCACTTAACAATATGAATCTTGACCATATGTTTACATTAAGTTACCATAAAAAAGTGAGTGGCCCCAAAATGCTTCACAACTTACCTTTTTCTACTTTAATTTTCTGTAAAGTGGTTCTGGTATGTTAGGTTCCCTTTTCTCTTTCCTGCAAAAAACCCAAACAATAAAAACATGAGTTCACCTCTTAAAATTGTGCGCTGTTAGTTGGGTACAAAATAATGACAAGCTATTGTGCATAAATAGTGGTTTGTACAGTACGTGCACTCTTCCGACTGAACATGACTAAGTGGAAACTTTAACAGCTGGATGTAATGAAGCCCCCACACAGGAGGCACACGATGTTCAGCATCTCCAGACGCAGCAGGAGATCCAGGCTCAGAGCAGCACAAGAGACCTCTGTTTTACACAGCGTCAGGCCCAGAGGCTGCTTTACTTATTTATATTCAACCACTATTCAGTTTGATAACAAACAAGTACGTCACTGATTCTCAGTCTCAGGCCACGGGGCACGACAGACAGATGGGTTTGGGGTGATATGATTTCACAGAAGTTATTGCAAAAAAACACCACAAATAATTAATAAAAACTGCATAAAATTAAGAATTTTTTGCGTTCATTTTACAGTTTAAAGAAGAAATAAAGTGTAACTCTATGAATAATTGGTCCAAAGTGTTAGAAAAGTGTAAGAAATCGGATTTCCATTTACTGTAATGTCACTTGACAATATAAAAATGTCATCCCTTTATTACCCATTTCTGGGTCAGGAGAATTCACAATGCACCAGTCCCATGACAATGAACAGCTGTGTTTATGTGTTTTTTAATAATAAATATGTTTTTTGAGGAAGACTACATCATTTTCAGACAACATGTCTTGTTATCTTTAAAATCGAAACAAAAAATTTAATTTACTGCACTAAATATGTATAATGATGTCATATATTTAATATCCCTCTAGTATACTAAAACGTATTGAGAAAAAACTATTTCAATATAAAAATGCAGTGTTATCTCCGGGTTACAGTGAGCTTTTCCAGTGACCTTCACCAGAGTCTATTCCAGTCTGAAGCAGACCCACCACACACTTTATACACTGATATGCGAGTCACAAGTAGTCTGTGGACGTGTGTGTGTGTGTGTGCGTGTGCCATGAAGTCCTTGAACCGGCTCTGGCCGCTGTGGCCAGATTAAAGTGGAGTACCAAACTTTTTGTTTGGGGTCCCCCCAGATGAGCTGGATAGGGAAGTCTGGGCGTCTCTGCTTAGACTCCTGCCCTCGCGACCCAGCAATGGAGGAAGTAGAAGAAAATAGATGGATTCATATTTGGTCACCACATTGCTGCTATAGTTTGCCATAGAGAAAGGACATTATGTGAAGTATTCTCAAATATTATGGTCTAATAGTGGATGTTGTGGTCTGAAAGCCACAGAGGCAACAGTCACAAGCTGTAGTGATTAATAATGAGTCAGACAATGACCTCAGAAAAAAATTCAATTGTTTGTTTGGGAAAATAGGTATCAATGGGAGACAGAACATCACCAAAACAAACGGCATTAAACAAACGCCCACAAAGCATTCACCACTGTATCATTTTACAAAAACACCTTCTCAATTGGGGAAAGTCATTGAATACTCAAATCTCATAAGTTCAGTCATGCATCATCAGCTGGTGGTTCATATCCAATCAGACTTGTCAACATTAACAAACATGGATTGAAAAATTGCCTGTTTGAATGTTATTATTTATCTGGACTGTAATAATATTAAATTACAATCAAAAATGGTGTATTTTTCTTTTAAATCAGTGCTCTGGTCTGTGCCAAGTTGTTTTATGAATAATAATTTAAATTTTGAATACAAATTTAAATCTTTTGGTGTTCATATCTTCTCTACATACATTGTCCCTGTGAAACAAATTAAACTAAACGAAAATAACTCTAATTACCAATTGGATACTTGTTTTGTTGCTCTGACCAATGATATTATCAAAATCAATATATCTACCAGACATTTCAGTACAGTTCATTTTCATTTTGAGAAAATATTAAAACACATTTCATATTTAGATGAATTAAGGCCCTATTCTTATTTTGCAATGACTGGTATTGAACAATTCTTTTGCTGTGCGTGAGTGAACAGCAGCACATGTTCCCACTACAGTAGTAAACCTGACTTACTGTGTGTAAAGGAACATGGACATAAATCTGACCTTCGTAAATCTCCTTTACCTTCCATCTGATTTCACCAGCTCTCTCTGAAAAAAAATCACGTTTCAAACACATAGTCTGGAAAAAATAATCCAGGTTGAGCGACTAAATCTGCCACCCATAGATGACAGTTTGACCGGCAACACAAAAGATTTAGAAGGATCAACGCATTTTGATTACACAAGAAAATCCCAAACAAAACACAGGCATAAGCTGTAGAATATAAACAATGAAATAGCAGTATTGGAAACTTGTGATTTATTTTCAATGAATTCACTTTTTTTTTGGTTAGTCTAATGAAATGTGTTTAGGTTATCAACAGAAACCCCTGATGTATTTGCGATGTTCATTTGAGATCTCCATAGGAAAAATAAAGATCGCTCTATAAAGGCCTGTTTTCTTTTTTGCTATCATGTAAGTAGCTATGTAATTCCACTAAAACATTTTTACTATCCCTTTTGTTTGCAGTAATGGGTTTAAAGATCACATGCAAGAGGAAAGAGACAATTAAACAAACGGCCATGAAACCGCAGAGTTTATGTTGCTAATATGTGGTCTTTAATTTCAGTTTAATCCAGCACTCGGACTCACACTGTGTCTGTGCTGGGACTCAGTCTGGTCCTAATTAGTTTCATAGAGGAAGTCGTTCAATGGGCCAGGATGATGTTTTCCAGTTGCTCCTCACAGAATCTTCCCATGCAAAAAAGTCTGGTCCAAAGTTACACGTGTTGTAGAACTTGGCATTGAAAAGGGGAGAGGGCTGACACTTGATTTGGGCTGTGCATTGTGCAGTAAAACCTGGAACATTATCTGTTTGGATATAGTCATATTGTTCCCTCATCCTAAATGAAGTAGGCCATTTAGGAGAAAACCAAAACAGTTGTACTTTGGCTACAACATCAACAAAGTGGGAGATGTAATGAACCTGCAGCTGATATGTTCGAGACTTAACTCTTCTAAAAGTATATCTGGTTGACTAGATGAGGACTTTTTTAAACACACCCTGATACACATAAATGGTGTTGCAACATAGATTAAAATGTGCTGTCCTGTGTCTGCTATAGTTTACTCCTTTCCAATTAACTTCTTGCAGTTAACCAGCTGCATTTTAGGTATTGTAGAGCCTCAGAGGTCAGTCATCATGTCTACTTCATAAATTTCAAGTCACTGAACTGAACATGAATTCTATGAAATACATAAGAGTAACTGAATACATGCATACACTGAAGCAAACAAACCATAGACGGATGTTTGTTTGAACGTGGAGACTTACCCGCAGTGCAGTTCTACAAATGAGCTTTAATCCATGAAACAAGCCCGTTGTACAATGATGTTGCAACCAAGTTCACGTTGTTTCACCAGACAGTGACACGCGATGCGTGCGCACGGCGCATCCACGCTGGCGCATGCACGGACCACACTATGGAGACATGAGGACTGCCGGGCACCCAAAGGTGCTGTGGTGAAGAAACTCGTTCACTGATTGCACGACTCCTGCAGGCTTTACTGATACAGCGCGTTCTCTTTCTCCAACAAACACACGCATGCGCACGTGCGCGCTCAGTAGGGAATGTCTGTGCGCGTCAGAGACAAGCCAAAACTTGATGTTTGTGAAAAGATGCTGTGGCATCATCTGTAATCACTGCATGCCCCATCTCGGTTATGGTTAAAAAGCCGAAGTCACCTTTGGGCTTGGAATTGTGGTGACTCTGTACCGGCGTGTGTTCCATGTTCCTCTGGTTTGTGAGATCATTTTATTAGGATCCACTGGTTATGTTGAAACAAAACAGCTGCAGCCACCACGATGGTATAGTTTATTCAGAACTCATAAAGACCCATAAGAGAGCATTTGCAGACGGTTGGTGGTCTTTAGCAGCTTGCCGGGTAGCATCTCCAGCTTAAAACTCTTTTTACCAAGGATAATTCTTTTTACAAAGTCTGTCACAATGTGTGGTAAATGGAGGCCTAGATAAATTTCCTGCACTGACGTTATTTTTCATGAGAAAAATAGAATTGTAATCAGCTTGCATTGTTCTTTTAAATTTTAAGTTTTCTGTGAGTTTTGGAGGTTTAAGGAGAAGCAGGAAAGGTGGAGGGTTACTGTGCAGTGCTGAAATCAAAGTAACAACAATGACTTAATAAGTACAAGTTTATAAAACGGTTACATAACTTAAGAATAACTATAAAACAAACCAAATAAACTACAACAGAAACCTATTTAAAATGTGCAATTACCTTTATCCCTCTGTAACTGAGCATGTGTCAATCGTACAGTACGGTAGCTCACAGAGGATGAGGAAAAGGCGACATCTAGCGGCATTTAGTGGTCTATACAGTCAAAAAAAAAAGTCCAACTCGACTTATTAGGAAAAAAACACAACCAGGTAAACATATGAGCTTTTCCCGAGTCCACATTATCAAGCCATTATGTTACAGAGATGCTGCTGCTGCTGCTGAGGTCCTTCACCTTCTCATCTAGTGCCAATAAGTCTTTCAGATCTAAAGAAGAAAAACATATGTCACACATGATTGAGCACATTTATGTACACTATACAAAACTAACTACATTATAAGTAACAAGATGGAATACAACAATAGAAAAATACTGTCTTGTAATGAATTATTAGTGAAAAGTGTTTGTTTTTATCATAGATCATAAGATAAGATCAACTTTATTGATCTCACAATGGAGAAATCTACATCTTGTGTACAGAACAACACACAAAAAGTCCAATCCTAGTTGGGCATGTTTAATTTTCAGTATGTTGTGTGGCAATAGGGTTGACAACTATCCAACCTTATAGGCTTAATAAACTTTTTTCTATTTCTCTCTCTCTCTTATTACATTGATCTTTGCCAAAATCAACTTGTCCTTGTTAACAAATGTATTCCAGTGTGGTTTTATTGCAAATGACAAATCAAATGAATCTGAATCTGACACTGTATCTGAAATCAGGTAATGTGCCTGGACTAGTGGTTGTACTTATTACTTACACTGGAGGACAGTCCTGTAGACAAGTGCGAAACAAAGTTCTGTATTTCTGCTGAGATCACAGTAAGAGTAGACCTTCAGCTCTGGTGGGACGTCAGAGTGCATTAAGTTTCGAACCAAAGGGATCAACCTGTTCGACATAGGTCCATCTACCATTGCTTGGTGCATCACATAAGTGCACCATCCATCGCTTAAGAAGTGTTGGGAGACGAGCAGCACCTTTATGTGGCTGTTGTGGACAGCCTGGTACAGCTCTGTTGGAATGGCTGCTCCAGGAGAGGAGTCTCTATGTGACAAATAACACCTCAGGTTACGAGAAGGCGCCTCCAGAAAAGAAACTAGGCGCTCGGCTTCTTCAGTATCACCGGGCTCGCAGCTGTGGCACACAAACACATCGTATGGACGGCTCCATCGGACTGCGGAATCCAGGAGGGACTGATGCTGAGAGCACACTGCTGCAGGAGAGGAAGCGGCCTGTGAAGAGGAACTTGATATGTTTTCATCTTTATCAACTTTGGAGGATTTTGCTTTAAAAAATGTTGTAATCCATCCTGAAACAACAACAAAACTGGAGTTATACAGTTAAATCAGGCAAATGCAATTATTGTTCCATATAAGATAATAACGACCAGACCACTGACATTAGAGCTTTTTAAAATTTAAAATTTCTAGTGTAACAAATATTATTATTTGTCCCAATGGGGATATTTCAGTGTTGCAAAACAAGTTACAGAACAGTAGGAATGAGGAGCACATAACACCAGATGATTGAATATAGCACTCCTCTGTACTTTAAGAATAAAATAACATAACATCTCTATTTACCGGTAGCTTAATAAAGAAGTGGAATAAAGAGGAGGCAGTATTTAATTTTATTGCTCAGGTATGAAAATGAGAGGGTGCTATCAATATACATTACGATTCAAAAGATGATAGCAATTGTTAGAAAAAATAATCAATAATATGACTGTTGTTTTAGGTTGCGTTAATGTGAAATCATAACATTCTAAAAAAAAAAAATCATTATTTAGTTGCCCTCAACCATTTTAGCTGTGGTGGATGGCAACTAAAACATAGTTCTTGGTATTTATGGCAACTGTTAAAAGTCAGACTTCGAGGCTTGTTTAGAGCTATTGACTCTCATCCGTGGACCAAACCAAATCAAAAGTGAAATCAAAGTGGTGACAATTTTAAAAATGTAATTCTCGGACATGAAAGCAACCTATTACCTGTTTGTAAGAATGTTTGTGTACCTGCATTATAAATGTTAACTTATTCAGTAGGACTAATTCTTATAAATGTTTGCTATACGGTATGTGCGTCTCTTTGCCTTTGCCTTCTTCGGGTTTCCTGTCAGTTTTTAAACACGCCCCTGTAAGTAAGATCTGAGTCATTATAATGGCAACTAATACCTGCTGAAATGGTGCTCTTGGAATTAACCATCAACCTACTTTTTTATCAGTTTGTGAAGTGGGCACTTTGTTTTTATCATCCGTTTAATCTAAAATCACCAAGTAGTGACGTATTTGCACTCACCAAGCATATTCTGAACTTCATGGTTGTGTCAAGTGACAACAGCAGCCAAAGGACAGGTGTATCTTCTGATGAACCTTCTGGGTCCCATACTTGTAGAAATGACCTGAAAGCAAACTTAAAACATACTTCACTGCAAAAGACAAAGGGCTCGTCATGTGACTCACACAAAAGGGGAAGTAAGTCAAGGAGATTATAGTCCAACGGAAACATGCATTTCCATAACCCTCCTAGTTTCTATAATATCTTAGGTTCACCTCACAAATGCAAAACTAACTGCCATAAAAAATGTCATACAATATTTTAAATTGTAAAAATGGAAATTACATGGTCTTTTTTCTTATCAAAATGTATGTAAAAATAGTAAAACACAATTAAACAGAATGTATTTTTTTCTTTGAACAAAATAAATAAATAATGTTTTCTTTACCATATTTGGTATAACAAGTCAAACGTGAATTAAGAGAGAAAAACCAAATGGGGGATATCTGTATATGGTGCAATGCATAAGATTTGTCCCACAGTGGAGAAATTTCAGTGTTGCATCACAAGAACAGTAACCTCTACATGTTGGTTATGTTGGTGGTTTAGAAATTAAAGACGTATTTGAACTTCAGAGCTTTTATGGCATAGCGTGCATTCTCATAGCATGGTACATTATTCGTTTCTCTCTTTTGGGCGGCACGGTGGCTGAGTGGATAGCACTTTCGCCTCTCAGCAAGGAGGCCTTTGTGAGTGGTGTTTGCATGTTCTCCCCTTGTCTGCGTAAGTTTCCTCCGGGTACTCGGATACTTTCCCTTACCACTAAAACATGTACAATAGGTCTGGCATGCGCCTCCTGTACTGGTGACCCCGCTCCCATCCCTGTGTGGAGTGAGAGGACAAATGCCCAAAAGATAACAATTGTTAACCGCTTTGTGACTCTGGTCTGTGAAAGGCGGTATATAAATATGTAATGCATATACATTGACTGACTGTAGTGGAGGAGAGGGATAATTGCTATGTGCAATACTGCAACTTCAGAATGTCACAGAAGAATGTCACTTTACCTTATCTACTCATTATCCTGCACTATTTAACTGTACAGTATATAACTGCACTACTACTAAATATAAATTTTTTGACTGGTATTGAAGCATTTTCAGCATCTACAGCTAGTTCCGTTAGCTAAGAAACATAGCTACTACTTATTTGTATATATTGTGTGTCCTCCCTGTGTGCTCTTACTACTGTCCTATATGTGCGCTGAAACATCGAAATGTCCCCACTGTGGGACAAATAAAGGAATTCTTATCTTATCTTATCTTAATTGAGCTACTGTGGGTATATCAGAACCATGAGATAAAACTAGAGATAGGAGGGAGTAACTTCAAGATTAGGCCCATTATTATTAATTTTTTTTTTTAAGTAACCCAGCAATATAATCCCATTATAAAAATGGGAATTAGTCATAGCTTGATTGTAACTTTATAATGGTCAATAATTGTAAATAAATGTTCTAATTTACAATCAATTTGAGAAAAAATGTAATCATAATAGTTAGTATACATAGTTCCCACAGACCAATGAATGTCACATGACCTCCTCGGAGACGCCATCTTTGATGGCACGCTGCTGTGTTTGTGCATTCCATTAAACAGAAGAATGAGAATAAATGTAGATATTCAAACGCAAATTGGAAAAAAAGGGCAACCTTTGAGCAAATAATTGTATATTAATACAATGGCACCACAGTTTAACGTGCTACGGACATGTTTTACATATTTGATCAAATTATGCAGCAAAAATTAACAAGCAATGCAAACATTTCTCAAAAACTTTAGATTTAATACCAGTTGGAGCTCCATTTAATTATTGTAATTATATTAACAATTAATTTAATTAATGCTAATGCCACACGGACACTCTGGATTGCTGTTATTGTTTATTTCTGCGTTTTTGACCGTATGTTTTGGTGAATGGTGGGCAACTGATTTTTCCAGGCGTAAAGAGCAGTTTATTTTATGACACAGATCTTTTTACAGAAGCAATGCTGTTTGTGAACATTGTTTTAGCCCACCATAGAACTATTATTATCTATTTAAAGAAGCTATACCCGATTTTTTTTCTAAGTAGTTCATAAAAATGCTTTTTACTACATACAAGTTGTATCATAATACATCATTTAATTGAAAACTTGAGGTAATTGATTCAGCTGTGTAAGAATTACAAGCAGTGAAAAGTGCTGAGTAGAGTCTGAGCGGGACGCTCTTTCTCCTCCGCTCACAGAACGAGCAGTGAACAGTCTGCGTCCTCTAGCCTCTACAGCGCTGCTTAACACCAGGGCTTCAACTTCAAAATTCGAATATAAATTCTAAAATAAAAAATGATGAACAAAATAATTGAATAAAAAAATTTGAACAAATATTAGACAACCCTTGTAATTCGAAATGTATTTAATGACTGCAAATAAAATAGTTAGCTCCCAAAGGTTTCACCGGGACGTGCTAGGCAGGTAACAGCTAAGCTAGCTAGTTGTTTCGTGGTAACTTCCGGGTTTTTCGCAATCGCTTTTTGTCACTTTGAAACAGTATTTTTGTTATGAAAACGTTAACAGCAAATTCTGAAATCATCCGTGCATGTGTGTTAAGGATGTATATGTGTACTGTATTGTCCGATTGACGTTTAATGGTGTTGATTGATAGATATGTAGTTGTTTATTGAGCGTGGCTAGCTCCGCTAGCTCCGTTGGCTTCTCTACACAGACAAGTGTGCAGTGCAGCGCTGATAGCTTGTTGTACTTGCAGAGTAATGGCAGTATTTTACACACCTGAATTACAAACAGAGATTGCATTGGGGCTGCGGTCATTATTGGTTTGAGAGTTCTGTTATCAAGAAAAAATTATCGGAAGAATTGCTGCTGCTGCTTTGAGGAGCACTATAACAAATTATAATTCAATATTAGAATATATTCTAAGGTTTTAAATTAATACATTCGGACGCAAAACTAGCGGTATTCTTTTACTTATATATTGTGTTAGCAGTGCGTTGCTTTAGTGCCATTTCATCGGTGATTGTTGCACAGCTTACAAGAAGTTGCGCTAATGCTAATGTTAGCATATGTATCAGATCGCAAATAAAACTAGGTGGCTCTGTGGGATGAGAGCGTAGGGGAAATAAGAAGCCATTGAGTGAGTTGGGGGGCGGTGCTAAACATTCAAACATTGCAGAAACGGGTATAGCGCCTTTAATACATTTACGTTCCCCTCGAGAGCCTCGGACGCGACACCGATCCTCCTCATAATAAAGTAATCTAACGCTAAATAATGAAACTCTCAAGTTACCAGATATCAGCATACACAAGTTAGTACTGAGTAAATTACGTCTGTCAACACATTATAAGATACGATACGCACCTGACACAAAGTGCTCCGAGCATATTCTTGCGTGTTTTGAGGGAGTTTCTTGCCTGTTTATCTTCGCAAGCCATAACCTCCGTCGTAGTTCTGACAAAAGCTTAGTCTTCTCACATTCATGAAGTCTAATGATGGGTATACTGTAAAATCCAAGTTTAACGGAACCTCCGGCACGATTTGAACATCCATTGACCCAGCAGGAGATGACCATTTTCAACTTTATCACGACATTAACACGTTTCAGCTTCTTTTTCTATTGTTTTGCCCACAGAATGCCAATACAAATGGCGCCGGGTCGGCAAATCCCCGTATGTAGTGACGTCATGTGGGAACTATGTATTGTAGTTACTGTAGGACAGTGTCTCCCAAAGTGGGGTCCGCGGCCCCCTGGTGGGCCGCGAGGGTACTGCAGGGGGGCCGCGGGAGGTCATAAAAAAAAATAATAATAATGTAATTATTTAATGTTAAATTTATAATGTTTTGTTTGTAATATTAAAATATTTGTGTTCATTATTTGACTTGAATAATCCACTGTAATCATTTTTGTATTACAATGTTTGTAGCAGAGGCTATTTCCCCAAAATAAAATAACCAGAAGAGCCTATTCTTAATGTTGTCTTCTTGGTTATTATTTTGGGGGGCCACGCAGACCCGTCAGATTTTTAAGGGGGCCTCGGTGTTACTGAGTTTGGGAATGGCTGCTGTAGGAGATAGAACAATAAGATAAACTTTATTGATCTCTAAATGGAGAAATTTGAAAGTCACATTTGTAAAATAGGCATTATTAACCCGTAACAATAATACAATTGTATCTATTGTATTTTGGAAGCAACTTTGTTAATATAATGGATCCATGATACACATCATGGATGTATCATCCAGCGTTGGCTTTAAACATACTGTGCGCATGCGTGGAAGCCCCGGAAATCCCCATCCACTTCCGCTCGTGCATCTGACGTGTCTCAAACTGTTCTTGCACTATATGTGTCCCTGTTTTAGTGAGGATTATTCTGTTCTTCTGTTTTTGGTAGGATTTTTTATTTATTTCTTTTGCATTATGAGTAGTGGTTACACATTGAACAAGTGTTTTACTGTGAAATGCCTCTGTGCTCTTTTTTAACCTCTTTAGTTAGGTTCGTCAACACAAGATGCTCGATTTCTTCACCATCTTTAGCAAAGGGGGGATAGTCCTGTGGTGTTTCCAGGGAGCAGGGGCCACTGGATCTTTCACTGGACCCGTCAATGCTCTCATCCGCTCCGTAATTCTCCAGGTAAAGAAATGACAGGCTACAAATCAGCCATGTAAACAATCCCATACGGCCAAACGCTAATCGCTAAAGCTAAAGCTACCATCGTTATTGCGCAAGTCCTCCTTTATCCTTTTCCAATACTTTAATGTGACAAACATACTCCGAACATGTTGGATACAAATGTTATAGCTATATATGATGACGCATGTTACACCTGTTATGTTTATCTTCACTGCTTTCGGCCATCTAGTTCACCTAAAGGCATCTTTCCTGACCCATCACTTTGTTATTTTGCCTGGAAGGTGCCAGAATATAGTTTTAAACAATTGACACAACCTCGCTTAGTGTCAGGTCGTGTCTGCAGAAAGGAAAGTGTGCTTACTGTAAGAACGGTAAACAAACCACCACATGCAGGTGATAGACCGTGTCATAGTGATTATACTGTGCAGCTTTAAAGAGTCTGACATTTATTAACTAGACGTTTGTTCCTTTTTCTTACTGGAACTGAACTACTGCTATTTTAGTACTTGTTTATGGTGGAGCAGAATGGGATTAGTAATGCTTTGTGTTTATTACTTTTTAACCTATTACAATTGTTGCATTACAGGAGCGTAGCGGAAAAAATACATTCAATCATGATGCCCTGAGTCTTAAGTACAAGTTGGACAATGAGTTTGAGTTAATATTTGTGGTAAGTTTTGATACGTTTGCTCTTCTACCATTATTGATTAATTGATCACACAACTCTGGGCTTTTCCTATAGGTGGGTTTTCAAAAGATTTTGACGCTGACATATGTGGACAAATTTCTCGATGATGTTCAGCTTCATTTTAGAGATCGTTATAAGAATGCGCTGGAGCAAAAGGGTACATTAAAACTACTGGACAACAACTTCAACTTTGAGGAAGATTTCCAAATGCTTCTGAAGTAGGTCCATTTTACTGACCGACTGTTATATGTTGGTCTATGTGGTTCAATTTAACAAGATGCTTAATGTCTTTCATGAAGAGATGCAGAGGAGAGCAGCAAAGCTCGAAGCCGTGTTCGTGGCATGAGGACCTTTGAGGAGTCTGATAAATCTCAGAAAACTGTCAAGTCAATGATTGAGATAAAAGGTGGAGACAAAAACAAAGACAGTGGTGGAAAGAAGAACAAAAATACCAAAAAAGGGGGTGAGAGAATTTCTTTACTATTTATAAAATAATTGCAATGTTTTAATTTGCTTCTGACTTTATCATGTTCAGCTTCTGCTGCAGAGCCAGCCAAAGTTGATCCGGGAAAGCCATGTATTCCAAAGGCAACTGAAAACGGGAACCAGAACTTGACAGCGGAAGAAGTCATTCAAAAGAATCGTGAGCTGTTTATCCGTAAACAACAAAAAGTGGTACCTTCTGAAAAACAAACGTAAGTGAAGTTAGTTTAATTAGACTGTGTCTTGTTAGTTTCTCATGTTATTGTTCTATTCCTCTTTCATGCAGCAAGTCTCCAAAACCTCAGAAACCAAAGGAAAAACAGATGCGTGTTTGGAACCCGCACAGTGGAAGCAGCTGCAAAAACTTAGATTATAGTCAGAGAAATGGAGAAAATGCCAGTAATGGCACTGACCAATACCAGGAGGGCCAAATTCATGCAGTAAGTGCAACATGATCAACAAAATAAATGAATTAGAGGTCGACCGAAAGACATTCCAAGTAGATTTGATTCAGCAAATATACAAGGTCTAGGCGCTAATGTTACTGTAATTAGCAATGATGCATTTTAAAAATGTTTTTAAATAATGCCTTGATGGATATTGATGAGACTAAGGTAATTTTAAAGATGAATTACCATTACCAGATAACCAGTATTTTATTTGACAATTGTATTAGTTTATTGCTCTCTCTATCGGCTGACCTCTAAATTGTTTTCATTGCACTGGAGGTAAATGTTTTAAATGTACTATTTAATGACCGGCAGCTGAGCTCCATGAAGGGAGAGCTGCAATCTGTAGGTTATGAATCCAGTGAAGAGGAACCGGCAGAAGAAGAAACAATAATTGTTCATCAAAAAGTAACTCCCAGGTAACATTTTAAATATATAGATAATTTGTTGGCTTGCATTATGGACAGAATATTTTTTTTCGCCACAGCTCAAGCAAGGGTCTGGGTGGCATGTTTGGGATGCTGAAGGGGCTGGTGGGCTCCAAGAGCCTCGGCCGAGAAGATATGGAGCCAGTGTTAGAAAAGATGAGGGACCACCTCATCGGTAAGCACTAAACTTTTTTCCATCCCATAACTTCCATGTCAGCTTTTAAAAGTGAATAGTCTAAAGGCCAAAATTTTACATATATCTTGTACTTACAGCTAAGAATGTAGCTGCCGAAATTTCCTCTCAGCTCTGTGAGTCTGTAGCTAAAAAACTGGAAGGCAAAGTCATGGGGACATTCACCAGTAAGTATCTTTTGTTATTCACCAGTATAAGTATGAAAACCTTCTTGCTACAATGTTATCTTTAATTATTTTATATACTTTTTTTTCAGCTGTGACCTCAACTGTAAAGCAGGCTCTCCAGGACTCTCTGGTGCAAATCCTGCAGCCAAAACGAAGAGTTGACATTTTGAGAGATGTCATGGAAGCTCAAAAGCAACAAAGACCCTTCGTCATCACATTTTGTGGTGTTAATGGGGTTGGAAAATCTACAAATTTGGCCAAGGTGACTTTATAACACAATCGTTGTTGTAAGTTGTATTCTTTTATCCAGTCCAACAATAATTGTGTCTTTTCAGATCTCTTACTGGCTGATAGAGAACGGGTTTACTGTCCTAATCGCAGCCTGTGATACCTTTCGTGCTGGAGCTGTAGAGCAGCTCCGCACTCATCAGCGTCGCCTGAACTCCCTTCATCCCCCAGAGCAGCACGGGGGAAAACCGGTCGTCCAGCTCTATGAGAAGGGTTATGGCAAAGATGCTGCGGGCATTGCCATGGAAGCCATTGCTTATGGTAAAAAGTAATCCAGTGTGATCTACTGATCAGCAGATGTTTTACAAATGTGGTATTTCTCAGCTCGTAACCAGGCCTTTGATGTGGTGTTGGTGGACACTGCTGGGCGTATGCAGGACAATGCCCCTCTGATGACAGCCCTGGCCAAACTCATTGCTGTCAACATGCCTGACCTTGTGCTCTTTGTTGGAGAGGCTCTTGTGGGCAATGAGGCTGTGGATCAGTTGGTAAAATTACACTTAATTATAACATAACTCTTAAGTAGCTTTTTTTTTGGTTCAAACATTTATCCATTTTGCTTTTTTTCCAGGTAAAGTTCAACCAGGCTCTAGCGGATCATTCTATGTCTGACAAACCACGTCTCATTGATGGCATAGTCCTCACCAAGTTTGACACAATTGATGATAAGGTAATGGCTAAATGCAGTTTAATTCTGTAAATAAATAAATCTCTAATATAATTTTCTTTCACAGGTGGGGGCGGCTATCTCAATGACATACATCACTGGGCAGCCCATCGTGTTTGTTGGCACAGGGCAGACCTACAATGACCTGCGCAGCCTCAATGCCAGGGCAGTTGTCAGTGCTTTAATGAAAGCTTAAACTCAGTTGGTCCCTTTTTTATTGGAGGAAAGTCTATGTAGCACACAATTTACATCATTGTTGAATATAAATTATTATAGTAGTTGATGAAATGAGTCAAAAGAAAATGGTGTGTGTGTACAGAAAAGCCTCCTGACTAACTTACATTCTCAATATTTAAATGCCTAGTGTGTATCATTCAAGAACTACTACAATAATTTATGGATGTGCTCCTGGTTTGACTGCTTGTTAGATCACTGTTTTGTCTTTCTGAAACAAAAGCCAAATGCTATTGAAATGACTAAAATGATTATGTGAGTAATTTGGGCAGATGATAATCTAGAACTAGACACTACAGTGATGACAAATCTCCAGCTGGCATTTAGTCACTTTCGCTCTTTAGAGATTTGGAGGCTGTGCACACATTTTAGCAGCAGCCTGTGAGGAAAGTCGAGTGACCATTGTGCGTCTGAGATCCCTACTTTTTGTTGGGTTAAACAAAATCTCAAAATCCTGGGAACAGAGTTTCTGCGGGAAAGTCCGTTCCAACAGCCTGTTAAAACCACCCACATTCATCCATTTGGACCCATAGCTGTAAAGTTTAAACCCAACGCACTTAACATTTCAACGTTATTACTTTGTAAATGTTGTCGATCTTGTACATGTCCTTTTGATTGTACAGATCTAGAACAAATATTTAATCTTTTTTATTTTGACATTAGGAAGTCTTAATGTTGCCCCTTTTAATTTATGGAGGTGCAATACGAGGGTAGTTGTGATTTAAAGGTTTGATCTAATTTATGAGAATGTAAGCGTTTCTAAATAAAGCTGCTATAATATTGGTGAGAGTTCTGTTTAATGAACTGACATTGGTTTGTCTGTTGCCAAATGAGTTCCAAAAAGCCCGTAGTTAATTTGGAAAGTATATTTTGTTAGATTCCCACAAAGGAAATTAATTGGGCATAAAGCAACTAGCATTTTCTATAGTGTATAAATAGTCATGGAGGGAATTATGCAGTAAGACATTAATTCACAGTTTATTATTTCAACAAATAATTTAGTATGTAATCAACCAACAAATAATTTAGAGCACTGGTCTTTGGACCCAATGGTCGTGGATTTGAGCCTACCACGACCCATGCCACCTGCTCCCCCTGATGTCTGCTGTTGTTGTGTCCCTGGGCAAGACACTCACACACATTGCCTGAAGCCACCGCTGAAAGACCAAGGCCATCTAGTCGATGATGGAGAAGCCATCTTCCCGTGGACCCACCACCTGCAGGAGGATCAGCGAGGGACTGGTGCAATGAGACTTGGGTGGCAGCTCTGATTGCCACCCCCCCCAACCCAGAAATGGAATAATAAAGGGGTAGAAAATGACATGACATGAAAGTTCAGTTAATAGTAGTAAAGTATTTATTTATTTATTTGACCAAATAATAGCACGAGTGAAGCCCCTGGAGGACTTTGTACACATTAGGAAATTTCAATAAAAATACTTTTTTCAACACTTTTCATTTCATTCTGCAGTTATAAAACCTTTTTGCAGCAATTTTAGTCTGTGCAAGGTTCCAAAAAATTATGAATTACTAAATTAATCAGACCTATAATGCAGTGGGCTTTAGAAAATATTATAGATCTTAGCCGGTAGATTTCCTCCAGAGGTCTGTGAATCCAAACACCTGCCAGCCCATGTGTTCAAATTAGTAGCTCTAAAAAAAAAAAAAAAAAAACAGGCCAGACAAAGTGACAGGATTTATTTGTAAACTTTATATATCAAAATACAAAATCAGTTACACTTTTATAACAGTATTGGAAAACCATGTGCAATTCTATTAACAGTATGGCTTTACTAAGGCATACATCCTGCTCTCAAGTCTGTGCGCTTTAAATGATTCAGGATTCAATACAAATATTCACTGAGGATGTAACTGAAACTGGTTCTCAATACTTTTTTTTCCCGTGTTAAAAAGTTGTCATTATTGTGCAGCGACCCACCCACACACACACACACACACGGAGAATGACTACAAATACTAAATATTTCATCTGTAAACACAAAAAGGGTACATGGATTGTGACACTTCCCTTCGTCTCAAAGTCTTTAATGCACTTTTTCTGCCTATAAAGTTAAAAGTTCCTGGATTTCCGTAACGTTAGTCCGAGTAGCTTAGACTGGATGGAGCTGTGGGGGAGAATGATTGACAGTGATTCCAATTGTGTGTCTGTCAAGAGTGATGTCTGGCAAAGAGAAAGGAAGGATTTGAGTGAGTGGTAAGTAACAGAGACAATCCACTGAAAACCACACACGGTTCAGCATGCAGAGACCACAACTGCCGGCATGCATAAAAGCAGTCTAGTACTGTGCACGTGCCTCCTCCAGCAGTTACCCGTAGCGACATGTAGGCCTAACCTTGAAAGAGGTTTTTCTGAGTGCTGATGCCGTTCTGTAGCTCCTCCTCGTTGTGCGATGGAGAGCCTGGAATCAAAGCAGAATTTGTTTATTCTGGTAAAATATGAAAGATATCTTTTGTTTTTTATTATTCCTATGTTACATATTTATACTTTGGCAGAGGGCAAATGTATCTTGAGGTAAAAGTGTGTGTCTTTTCATCATGTATGTGTCATTTGATTTTCTAACTGCTTTCACTCCTACATTTACCCTTTAAAGTAATGTCAAATTTTCATTTCTAAGATTTGATGTGGTTTTATTTTTATTTTTTATTTGAGGCCTCTTTAGCAAATGGTTGAGATGGGGTTTGATGGTAGAACTGCCTGAAACCAAGTGATAGAGATGCCCCAATGAATTCAGTTTCAAGCTTCAAGTAGATGATAGTAACTCAAAAATGGACTTCAACTTCATAATTGGGGATAGTAACACGGTAATACATTATTTAACCAGAGCTGAAAGTTGACTTTAAGTGGATCGGCATTAAATCCGCTCCATTAATATCCATTTTCTGCGTTGAGTTTATGTTTACCCAATGTTTGCATGTTCTCCCCGTGTCTTCCTCCTGGTTCTCTGGTTTCACCTACATGTACAAAAGGTCTCACATGCGCCTCCTGGACAGTGACACCGCCTCCATCACTGTGTGCAGTGTGAGGGACAATGCCCACAGCCATTGTAAAGCGCTTTGTGACTCTCAGTCTGTGATAAGCGCTATATAAATAAAGATTACTTACACACTCTTCGGGGACACTTAGCAGTCAAACACCAAACTCATTCACCAAAATGGGGGAGATGTTGTTTGAATGCAGTTCCTTTTCAAAATTCAATTACTATTGCTTCTATATAGGCTTTTATTTTAAGATTAAGACTGTAGACCCTTCATGGAGAGGAAAGATGTCCCGCAGTGCAGCACCTGTGGAGACCATCTCCAGATTGTGACTTGGGGCAGACTCCAACTCAGTCAGTGCTTCTTCCACTGGAGGTTATGATAATTTCAACATTCTTTGGGGAGGGACGTGAGGGGAAAGGAAAGGGCGATGTCTGAAGCTCAGTTACTAAGATGAGTCTGTAATAGGAGCTACAGTTTTAGCCAATTCTTTCAAATAGTTAGTAAGACATTTTGGATCAAATGGCCTGGAAGTCCACAGCAACCCCTGTTTACTGCAACAGCACAAACTTCAATTTATGAACATTTACAGACATTGGTCCCACGACCCTATGGACACATGGCTCTTATGTTATTCTTATTATTTAAGTTAGAGTGTTCTAATTGTTTTGTACTCTAAACTGTTGGAGAATTTTACAATTTTGTGAAGTCCTCCGAGATGACTGCTGTAGTGATTTAGGGCGATGCATAGATAAATTCAATTGAATTGAACCAGACAAAACTGAAGGGTGAAAGAGAATGTCTTACCCCAGCCGTTGGTGGCTACATCCCGGTTGCAGATCTCATTGGCCAGCCTTTCAAAGTACTCTGGTAGATCAGCGTATTCGTCTCCATACGAGATGACCTTGATTCCCTTGTCCAACATGTTGTCCCGTAGTTTTTTAAACTCTCCGACATCCTCTCGCCTCACCAGCATGAAGTGCTCCAAATCCGACTTGTGTTTGACAGCCTCCAAAAAAAGAGCCTGAAATGTAGTGTCGTCCACTGTCCTTCCACATCCCAGGAATACAAAGGATTTTGTCTCATACAACTTCTGGATTTCACGCTGTTAAGAAAATTAGACAAAACAACAGTAACTATCAAGTAATAGTAATAGATGGTGACTGTAATCATAATATTGTCATGTCAGATTATAAGTTACTTACCATAACCTCTGTGTTTCGTAGGACATTCTGGTAGCCAGCAGGGTGCAGCACGATGCCACTGGGGTTTGTGTACACGCCATGGATATGTAAAACACTCAATCTTCGTTTCTCCTGAGCCCACTCCAAGACCTAAACAAACAAACTCACACTTAACAGTCCACTGCACTCAATCCAGTTCAGACTGGACACAGAACAAAATCACTTAAAACCACAGTTAGAGGATATTTGCCCCGGTGGAGGCGAGGCATAAATACCAGGACTGACAGGCAGTGACCAGCATTTATTAAACAAAACATATTCTGTCACTATATTAGATTCACATTCTTCTGATTGATTTTTTTTATCTTCCAACTCAAAATTTATACAGTACATTAAACAAAAACAGTTGAATTTTGTCAACAATGTTGTGTTATTTTTGACTAGAAGTCTGCCATCTACAATGTGTTTGAAAAATGGAAGGAGCAATGAACTTTACTCTCATTAAAATCAGCTGTTGTGAAAACTGTCAAATCAATAAGTTACTTTTTCAAAAGAGTCAAACCTTCTTCTCATCTGTGAGATCCAGAGACTCCAGTTTGGTGCCCTGGTGAGCGGCGTAGATCTCTAGGAGATTATCGAAGTTTGTGGTAAGGACAAGTGCACCACTCTCCATCAGCTGCAGCACAGAGCGCAGGAGGTGTTTCCCAGCATGCTCCATTTTGCACTCCAAGTCATCAAAGACTTCATACAGGCAGTCTTTGAAGAACGTGGATCGTACGTTACCTGTTCTCTAATTGAAACAAAAGCAAAAGTTACAAAGATTCAGTCGCTTTGTTATATTCTTGCAATAATATATTGTGCATTCTCTTTCCAATTTACAATCTAATGTGCGACCATATTAGATTATCCACACTGTACATACAGTCAATGTTTAAAATAATCCTTTTTTTAGCAAAATATGTTGAACACAAAGAGCTCCATTTAATGGGATTTCACTCCACATGAGAGCTTGCAATGTCAGGCCATGAGTTCACCGTCTCAGTATAATTCTACCTTTATATCAGTTATGTGAGGAACTCATAAATGTTGGCATAAAGCAGAAAACAAGGTCATCATTTATTTCATAGTCCTAATATTACAAAAGATTTCTCTGCGTTTTTCAATCAAGAGGTCAGACGGAGAACATACGCGGTCATGGATTCCTGGAATGTGAGTTTGTTCACAGGCACTCATTTTTTCTTTGATCTTTTCTCTTTAACAGTTCCACCGCTTCAGACGTATCATCGCATGTCCTGCTCAGCTCATCTTACCTGAGCAGGCAGGTTATAAAATAAAGAAAGGGAACGGGAGGAGTCAGAAGGCTATGAATAGCAGAGGCTACAGAGAGCTGTAGTGACCAAGGTGATACAGGCAGAGATTAAAGCTCTAATGGGCTCAAGCTGCAGGAGTCCTTTCTACAGGAAGAACCTCATTATCCACAGTGTAACAGCAATCGTTTAATGCATTTGTCTTCACTTGTAGTATTCTTAATGGCATAAAATGCAAACTTAATTATAAACAGAAATAAATTGTTCCTATCAGACAATCGTAAATTAGAACATGAATTATCCACCAACACTCATCCTCTAAGTTTGTGTTTATAAAAAAACTTTGCACCAAATTCCAGACATGAATACCATAATCCATCATAACTCTTTGAATGTGGGTAACCCACTTTCAAACAAGTCCCAGTAAAGTCCCACTGATGGTAATCCAGCAAGTTTTATGTGCTGTAGACTTGGTATTACACTTTCAAAACGTTTTCAATTTTCTGCCAGCATTGTTGTAAGCAGTATATACACATCTGTGGAGTGAAATAAACATGGCTGATAAAGCCATGTGTTCGTTCCTGTTACAACAACAGGCTGAGGACAAGGTGTGTGTTATCATTTAAAAAGTGCGCTCAGACATGACTAACATAAGAGGAAAGTCCTTTGAAGGCTGCCATCTGCCAGCTTTGCTATTTAACAAATACAAACATCCTTTTCAAGGTGGCGAATAATGTCACAAGATGCTAGTCCAAATGAGGTCTTGTTGCTTGTGTGGTTACTGCTTAAAGCCTTTTCATTATTGAATACAACTTTTTATATGTGAATTTGCTAAAAACATGTTTCATTGGTAGGTCAAACTGAACTAAATATTCCCAAGATTTTAGTCTTAAGTGTTCTTACCGGAGAAAGTTTCTGAATGAGGTCATGGGCCACATGCACCAGATTTTTGTCCTCCTGCATGTGCTTCTGAAAGCGCCGGCTCTCCTCTTCCTCCAGCAGGTCGAAGTCATTGGCTGCGTCCAACAGTGCTTGTATAAGGCCCTTCCACGATCGCAAAGCTGGGACCTGAGGGGCCACCGCAGAGCTCACCCCTGTCCCGATCACCAGCACCAGCTCAGGGGCACGCTTGGTCTTCAGGCTGGGAAGAAGTTTCCTATGGACCAGGACAATTATTGGTCCATGATTAGACCATTAAAAAACAATTGTATTTTCTGAATGTGTATTTAATTTACAGTCATTTATAAAATATATTCAGCTATAGTGAATGACTTATGCAGTACACAGATTGCACACATTAATTTCATTACCTGGGCTTCTTTGCATTAGAGTCTGCATCTTGAGAATCAGCAGCTGATCGCTTCTCAGTTTTGGCTATTATAACAGAGGCCATTCAGCTCCTAAGCATGAAAAATGAGGTCAGATTTAGCTGAAGTTTCAACATTATACAACCTAGGCATCAAAAGCACATGTGAAGTCCCCGTGGCCATTAGGTGAAGTTTCAGCAGGCAGGAAGAAGGAAGGAAGCACATGGGAGCACAATTTGAAACAAAGTGTAGTGAGGCTGTATCATTTAAAGCAACACCATTTTATAAAGATTCTGATTCCACTGTTTCTACTAGTTAATATATCTTGAGGTCCAAACGGGAGGACAAACTGAATGACTACAATTAAATTTGTTGTTGTTGAAATGAGATAAGTCTGTACTATATTATTGATGTTAATGTAACAGTTAAGTACATGCGTATATCTCCATTTGCAATTCATATATCGACATTCATCTGGAATTTAATATATCGACATTCATCTGGAATTTAATATATCGACATTCATCTGGAATTTAATATATGTATATGTATATGTATATATATATATATATATATATATATATATATATATATATATATATATTATATAGAAAAAATTCAGATCCAATATACAGTCAGTCACACTAGTTTGTGTTAATTGCGAAATAAAATAATGTAGTTGAATATAAATTGATTGTAACTGTATCTGTGATGCAATTTACAGGAAAGCAATATACAATTTTAAAACGCTTTAGTGCTAAAGATAACGATTTAAAGTAAAGTCAAAGTTTAAAGCTGTCTAAAGGTCTTTTAGGTCTTGAAGCCTACAGGGGCTTCCCGGCTTCTTCTTGTCATCCGTACACGGAAGAAGCTGCGGGATCGCTCTATCAGGAGAAAAGTCCGTGTTTTGTCGAATAAAGTGGGACAATACCTTGCTGAGTAATGCTGTGGACCTAGACGCCTCTGCAGATCTCCTCGGAGACTGTCCCAAACATTCACTCAGGTTCTGCTTCAACTTTTCCAACAGAAGACACGAGATGATGATGCGCCTGCTCTAGAGGTGTGTTCAGGGACATGACGGAAATCTGCACTTCACCAGTAGATTAGAGTAGGACCATAGATATTGTAGGATTGAGACCAGTTGGTTCGATAAATGAACGACAAAAAATATTGAGATTAATACGCTAAGTCTATTTTATGAATTCAACAGCGTAGTATGAATGGAATTTTTAGATGCAGACATTATATTCGGTCTATGGTGTAGATACAGAATAGTCTAGTCTACGTGTAAGGTCCTGAGAGCTATATTATATATAGAGTGATAAAGCGATAAAACCACGGACTTTTGGCAAAATAGCAGATATTTTTCCTTTTCTTATTTTCTGTAAATATATTTGGGGAATGGCGCCCGTAAAGAACGTTAAAAACGTGTTATTATAGTTTATGTTAACCGCACTGGCAACCACTGAGGAACACGTCAGCGTACCGCAGACGTGTGCCACACTCTGTTGGAAAAAAATATTACAAGAAAACCCAAAATGTTATAATGATTTTTTTATTGAGTTACATCTATATTATCAGCTCAAGTGCTCAAGTACATTCACTCCAAATTTGAATTACTTATTTCAAGTGCAAGGATTTCATTAGGTCGATAAGTTACAACGTCCCTTTAAAAAAATACACTCAATTGTGTACATTTACAAACATGACAAATAAGTAGCATCTTCTCTTGAGGAAAGGCATAATGGTTTTAGTTTAAGTAATGTTTGTTTGTGCAAAACTATGATTTGTCTGTAGAACTGAGGATATAACATAAAATTTGTAATCCAGTTGCATTGATCATGACATCAGATGTTACACAAAGCCCATGTTTCTATTATAGCTCATAAAGGAGCTAAACACACTTAAGTATGGCTTTAATAATGAGGGAAGACTCCAGTAAAAAGAAGACAAATGTTATGATTTCCTTCTACACAGAGATGGAGCCCTCTCTGAAGTTGGTTTTTCCTATGAGAACATTTAAAAGTGTAGCTTTTCCCTCATGACAATCTTTCTGTGCCTTTTTGATTATGTCACTCAGTTTCTCTTCATCTTCACGTCCAACACAATAGCCCTTGCCTCCATAACCATCCGCCACAATGTGATAGTCTGTAAAATATAGTTTGGTTTATTATAATCAATAATATGACACATGCATAAAACGATTCAAGAAGGCAGCGCTTACCTGAAAATGCTAGACCACATGCTACATTGCTACCAAGCATGGGAACTTGCTCTCTCGAAATCTGACTCCAACAGGCATCATTTCCCACCACTGCAATAACTGGAGTCTGAAATAAATAAACAAATTATTAATAATACATAAAATGGCAAATCAATGTGAACTAGAGGAATAGTGGATGATTGGGGTCTCATGCATTTTTTAATGATCATGTTTTTACCTTGTGTCTAGTGAATGTGTCAATCTCTGCCACACTGTAACCCAAAGACCCATCCCCATAGATAATCCATACCTGCATAAAAGGAAGGTGGGATTGCTTTATATAATGTCTAATGAGGACTTGAATAAACAGTCCAGTTGCTACATACCTCAGAATCAGGCCGGCAAAGCTTTGCTCCCAAAGCAAATCCTCCTCCAACTCCCAAAGTCCCAAATGCTCCTGGAAAACAAAAAGATGATGTCATATCCCTGGAGCTGATTACTCCAGGGCACGGTCTATACAGCCCCTTGGCTTCCCACAAAAATTCCCCTACATTTAAAATTTCTGAAAAAAACTATGGGGCCTAAAGCATTTATAAATTGCTATAACAGTTCACATATTAGGTGTTCTGTTTTTTTTTTTAAAAGATGATTGTATATGTTAATCATTAGCATAAGACATTCTGTAACCTGGATCAAGCCAGCGCAAGGGTCCTCTTGGTCTCAGAATGTAAGCAGCACTTCCCACAAAATCTCCTCCGTCAGCAACAATGATACTGTCCTCCAGCATCAGCTCATCTATACAGTGGAGAACCTTTAATGGATTCAAGTGGTGGTCGGTCTTCTCCTCTGCCTTGGTTCTTCACAAAAAGTAAAAAAAAAAAAAACATTTATTTCTAGAGTGTCAATTTAAATGGTGTAATACTGAGTTGAATAAATCACAATAAAAAGCAGTCACTTGTTAGCCTTCTCTTTTGTTGTGTCACCAGACTTAAGGCTTTGAGGCCATTCCACAGGGCAGCGATGACCTTTAAGGCCTTTGGAAAGATTCACCAAAAATGAACCAGCATCCCCTTAAAACAACCAATCAAATTAGTAAGTAGTCTATATATACACCACCTTTCAAAGGCAGAATCACAAAGTGCTTCACACATTTACTAAGCACCCTGCAGAACACGTTAAAGAGGCATTCGTTATACCTTGAATAGCAATAGTGGGTTTCCAAAACATATCAGAGTTTTTTAGCAGCTGCGTTTTATCTCTGTTGACAGCGATGATTTTACTACGTCTGTTCAGAACTCGGCCATAGCTCAAGCGGAAGTCACACACAGTACCTGTAAACACAATCAAAAATAATAAAATACTATTCACAGTACAGCATTGCAGTGAATATACCTGCTAAAAGCACCAGGTCTGCCTCTTTCAGAGCATCACGTCTGTTTTGTCTGATGTGGATAGGACTGTCTTTACCCAACATGCCACGGGACATACCGCCCAGGAAGCAAGGTATGCCCAAGTCCTCTAGCGCTTTTCTAAGAGAAAACATAAAGAAACCAAACTGTTCGTATAATGCACATAGATGAATTTGAAAACATTTACCAATGAATTGAATTAACTTGATATAAAGATGATGGACATTACCTGATGTTATCTGCTGGTGTTGGAGGAAGTGTTGCTTGGCTTCCAAGCAGAATAACTGGCCTTTTTGCCCTACTAACTAGCTCTATGCATCTCTGGACCTATTATAAAACAGGAATGGTTAAAAAAAATAAAATGTGCAAATATTTCATACCACAGATTTCAAGTGGAAAAACATACCTGATTATCTGTAGCGTGTGGAATATTTACAGGAAGAGGAGAGACAGCTCTTGGTTCCCATGCTCCAGAAAAGAGGTTCATGAGGTGATTATTGAGGTACCTTTGAAAGTAAAAGATTGTTTTATTACACAGATTCAGACTCCGAGCCCTAAACTGTTGGAACAAAATATATACGTACCAGGAAACAAATTTACCCATGAGGCCCTTTGGTGGGTTTTTAACACCAAACTCTTTAGACACTATGTGGTAAGGGTACAGTGTGTCAATGGGAAACTCTATAAAAACCGGGCCAGGAGTTCCTGACTGAGCAATAGCCAGGGCTTTTCTGACAGTGGGCACAATCTCCCTCACCGTTCTCACAGAAGCACAGAATTTACACAGAGGCTTAAATAATGACATCTGATCGATATCTTGTAGTGAGCCTCTACCCTGTAACCCCAAATTACAATATCACTTCATATTCAAAACAGCTTTAGAAAGACTTTCTGTTTTCACCTGAAGAAGTGTGCCAGCAGCTCCCCCCATGAGCAGCAATGGGGATTCAGCCATTTGTGCGTTCTTTACAGCAGTGACAGTGTTTGTGAGCCCTGGTCCTGCTGTCACTGCTGCCACACCAATAGTTCCTATTGAATAAATACATGAATTAGTTCAGACTCACATTTTGGTGCAAAGAAAAAATATTGCTCCAGTTTCAAACTCAACTAACCCTCACTCACTCAACCAGTTCAATCACACACACACACCTTTCATAGTCAACAAACCTGAAAGCCTTGCAACAGCATCAGCAGCAAAGACTGCAGTCGCTTCATGTCTAGTGTCAACAATACGAATACCCATTTTTTCACAGGCCACCAGGATGGGAGAAATGTGTCCTCCAACCAGGGTAAAGACAAACTTTATGCCATGAGCACGTAGGACCTCAGCCACACTCTCACCACCATGCCGTGGACTTTTGATTTCTGTCTGTGGAAGAATAAAAGATCACAATGATTTCCCAGATGCAGGTTATTTGTCATCATCCTGTATAAACAGCAGCGCATGGAGCTTGGTCACAGATGTCATTCATGTGCCTGTGCATAGTGCAGTGTGGTCTTATTATAGTACCACAGGCAGCTCATCTTTTATAATAAACCATTGTCATAGAAGCCACTGAAAGAGCCTGTCTAAGAGTGCATGAATGGAGAGAGCAGCTTGCTTTTCACCTGTGTCAAGTTACAATACAAGATAGTTTACCAAGCTTAGTCCCTGTTCTTCTGCTACCTCTGACACCTGCATGTTCAATTCCATAGAAACAAACCTACCTTATGGAACAACTGATAAAGTAAACCAAATTTGTAGGCTGCAAACAAGAGTCCACTTGCAGCTATCCCGGACATACAACCAAGCAGAGTGCATGTTGTTTCATAATCCATGGAAAAGTCAGACTGTGGAAAACCCTTGATCAAAAATCCTGTTTGTTTATGTATTCTTTCCTTGCTCTGGCAAAATGCAAAGCTCAGAAAGAATTATGAGGCGAGAACAAAGGCTACCGTAACATAATATTTTACTGTGTCTTTGGCAAACTATTTAACTAATGATTTTTGCACTATTGTCCTCTGCTTGCAGGCAAATGCTGGCGTGCTTCCGCGATAGTGGAATGATACAGGAACAAGGATCTTTAAGCGTCAAGTTAGCAGGTGTTAGCTACTGCTTCCGGGAGAGATTTTCAAAGTACAGCCCTACCCCTGCTCATGTTTATTGTATTTTATGCGTCATGAGCGGTTCAATACAACTTATATTTTATATTTTATAACTTAATTTAAAACTTATTTAGTTCAACTCATTACGTTCTGTTACTACTAAATTTGATAGCACTCAAGACACAGAATAGAATTTTATTGTGAAGTACTTCCGAATATGTGACAGCACACGGACAGCAGTATAGACGAGCCCTCTGGCCAATAAAAGTCTTGAGAAGGTCAATGGTTCAACAACTTCGCTCATATCTTTTTCATCTTTTCAAAGTTCAGGGACCACAAGAAATTAGGCCAAAGTTGAAAATAACTGAGCTTTATGGCAACCTAACATTTCCAACAATATCAGGGAATCCATTCAGTTTTAATATATTTAAATCAGATTAAATGATACAAGAAATTAGTAATAAGTTAATTATCTATGTACGCTTTCAAATATGTTTTATTTACAATAAAGTACAAAAAGGATGTTTGTACACATCGATCATCTTTCCATATTCTGTATTTTCAGCAAAAACAATCACGCCATCGGTTTTCTGCTCTTCAAAAACAAGGATCTAAAAAGAAAGCGCAGCCATAGTTAGATGTCACTCAATATGGGATGACTCTATATAATATTGTGATGTGTAAATTTAGAAACCTGATTAGTTCCAGGGCTGAGCCAAGGTCCTGGGACATAGAGAAAGCGCTGAGGACCCACCGACCAATACTGTCCAAGATGGTGACTATTGACGAATGCAGTTCCTTTAACCCAGCCCTGACAAGGAAAACACAAATAAAACATAATACAATTTAACTGAAGACTCAAAAGAAACGTACAGGGAGTTTGATGAATGTGTCTCTTGGTGGACCATCGACGTAGAGTTTCCCTTGCAAAATGCAATGCAAAAAGAAGCGTTGGAGCCTGATTTCCATCTATCTGATAAGTGCAATCTAAAATGGCATACAATGAAAAATAATGAAAAAACACATACTAAAATAGGTTTGTCTTTTTTTATTTTTTTGCATACCTATTTAAAAAGTCTGGCCTCATCTCCAAGCTGAACATTGCGAAGCCTCTCAAAGGAATCTGGTCTAGAAAAATATCTCCCACGATTCCTAACAGGACAAAATAGAAATCCCATTTTGCTTTATATAAAAATAATCACTTTAATTGAGAGGGAAAGAACTGACCTTTGCGTTGTTTATCAAGGCCTTTCCCGTAATTTACACGGCCGCAGTTTTCCACGAGTAAACTCACTGTTCTCTCTCCCTTTATATTTACAATAAACAAAACATGATGACCGTTTGGGTTTATTGCTTTATACATGAGATGCTCATACCTTTCCCTCCGAAAGCCCCACAGCATGATTTCTTCGGTCTAACAGTCCAACATACTGCCTGTTAACAAACACCTGAACCAAAATGAACTTGTATGAATTGTAAAACTGCACAGATTTCCTTGTAATAGTTGCACTCACCAAAGCCCTGTCCCTGATGTTGTCAGAGTAAAGCATCCCTCCACATGTTACACTTGTCTCATACAAAGTGTAGCCATATGACTGACCATTGTTATTATTGACAGGAAGATTCTCCATGTTGATTGGTAACTCAGATGTGCATGGCTGAAAATGACAAAACGTGAAAAAAGTAAATCAAGAAAAGAATAAATACTACTAATAATTTGTTTTATATGATGTTTCTTTTACACTATAAGACACTTCATATGTCATTATTAATTCACTCAATATACACAGTGGTGAAAAACTAATACTGTAGCCACAGCTGCCCTGTGGCACAATGACAGAAGCGAGGCAACCATTATGGGCCACTGGCCCCTTCAACTGCCACCAACCGTACACACATGTACCAGACTCATTCTAGGCAATGTGGGTCAAGTGTCTTGCAAAAGGACACGATAGTTTGGCACTTTTTATTTTAAAAAAGACATTAAAAAAAAAGCATGCCTAAAAACAAAACCGTCCCATTTCAGCGACCTAAAACAGCCAAACTATATTTACTCATACTTCAATAATGTGAAGAACGTCCCATATTGACATGTGCTGATCGACAACAACAGGGTCGTACGCTCTCCTCTGCTGAGATGCGACCATTTCTGGAAGAGGCTCCGCTGCAGAAGAAGTAAACGACATTAGACCAATACTATTTTGTCCATTTTATATAGTTTAAGTGCCTTACAATAATATCCGCTAAATAGGTTTCTCAACGCGTGATATTTTTCAGTGTAGTCCCCAGCCTCAGACAATGGAGCATCATAGTCTGCAGCGATACCAACATCACTATCTTGACAAAGAAGATAGTAACATGATACATTTTGCGGGTCATCCCTACCATAACTTGTGACTTGTGGTTTGTAAGTGCCGAGATCCACTGCCCCATTCATGAATCCAAAACTGGTCCCACCATGAAACATGTAAAGGTTTAAAGAAATACCTCTCTCTAGGATTTCTGACACAACTTTAATCATGTCTACAAAGAAAATTACAATGTTAGCACCATGTACAATTTTCTCATAGCATACTTTTCTTTATACCTTTATAGTGGAACACATGGTGATGCTCTCCCCACACATCAAACCAGCCAGACCAATACTCCATCACCATCACTGGTTTCTGTGGCTGCGATGTTGATAATGTTAAATGATATAAATACACTATTATTTCACTGATTCGTTTAAGATTTGTCAGGGAAAATTGCCTTTTAGTACCTGCATGTCGGCTAGGCATTGTATGGCCCCGAACGAGAGTCTTTGGAGATTTATTGTTCTTAAAACTGCAGAAGAGTTTTATGAAATATGTGGAAGGTAAAGAGAGAATAATATAGGTGTCATGCTCATATTAGGCAGTACCTCCATCTGTCCCGCCCCTCCTCAATCCCTGCTGGTTGTCTGAAGTCATTAAAAGTTCATGAATACCTCTGCTCTGAAAACACTATAACATATACTCATTATGGAATACTTAAATGCAAAATGGCATCAGCAATCGCCTGCTCCACCTTTATACTCACATGTTGTATACGCTTCATGTAGTCCTTATCCTTGGCATAAAATCCATATTCATTATCAATTTGGAGAGCGATAACTGGGCCTCCTTCTCTGTACTACAGTGACAATTTATTTCAATTATTGACAAGTGACTAGTGATAAAACTAATACCTTACCAGCAGCGGTTTAAAAACAGTCACAAGCTTGTCAAAGTATTGGTTCACTGCCTCCATGAAACCAGGATAAGATGTTCGCAATTGCATGTTTTTGTCCCGTAACAGCCAGCTAAATAGATTAGAAATAGGAGATAAGGTCTTTGTTTGCTACTTTCTATTGTAAGTGGGCAGAAACATTACCTTGGCAGTCCACCTAAGTCCCATTCAGCACAGATGTACGGCCCAGGACGTAAGATCACCCAGAGACCTACATCTGCTGCTAATGTCACATAACCCCTAAAGACAAATCCATAATACAATTCAATACTATTAGATATTACCTAAGATCCAGCTGATCTTGAAAGTCATATACACCCCTCTCTGGCTCATGCAGATTCCAGGGGACGTATCTATTACAAGTATTGCTGAGTATTGCTTCAAACAAAGTGGATCACAGTTTTGTCTTACGTTGTCAGTGTATTGATGCCACACGCTTTCATCTTCAGTAGTCTGTCACGCCAGTATTGTCTGGGCACTCGGAAGTAGTGGATGGATCCCCCCATGATACGAAACGGCTTCCCATCCAGAGTGAAATGAAGAGAGGCATCCTTCAAACCCTCCATACAAGTCATTTTCACACCTGCTTTAAAAGATATGTACAACAACAAACAAATTAAAACAAACAGGCTTACTTTTTGCTTTCATTCATTGGCATATTAAACAATGTTGGACAAGGACTTACATGCAGGATCAAAACTCCATTAGAACACGTCTAAATCTGAGGATGGTCAACAAGCTAGTTAGAAAAAACAACATTGGGATAGTGCCGGAAAGTCACAAAAGTGTCCCAATAAGGGAAAGCATTGTTGTGTTAAAAAGAACCACAATAGTCCTTTGTCTTAAACTACTGTCCCTTTGTAACATCACCATAGAGCGGTAGAGGAAGCCAACAAATGTCTGCAAAGCCTGACAACATGGGCTTTGATTCAAATGATTCAATGGTATTACGTTACATAGTTGTTTCTGCCATATGGTTTTCAGTCTGGGATCTTGTGAGTCTCCACACGAGACTACGGGGTGCAGAGATCTATTACACTGGGTAACAAAAAAATATTATTTGAAAATAGTCCAGGGTTTTCCAGCTGAATTAGACTAATTTTGATGCTCTGAGTCCGAAAATTACCTTGGTTTTGCTCAATCAGGTCAGGATTTTTTGCTACAGAAATATTTTTTTAAATCGATTTTGCGTAAAAAACTATTTTCTGCAGATCATCAGCTGAGAAACCCTTGACGTTTTTTCCGTTTTCCTCAAGAAATAAAAGTCAACGTATCCAAAGTCATTCAGTTTTTATTTACTCCATCAAATTTGATAAGCAGAATTCATAATAACGTAGACGTACATAATCCGTAACACTATGGCTGTATCTCAAAAAGTTGACCTGATAGAGCAAAATGCATGTGATATTCGGATTCAGAACACCAAAATTAGTCTAAATCAGTTGAGAAACCCCTGACCATTTTTTGCTGTCAACTTGTGTTATAATAACAGTTCTAAGTCATTTGATTTTAAACTCTTTGTTAAAATAAACCAAATAAATAACAAATACTGCACATAATATTGATAGAGACAGACAGACAGGAAGATAGATAGATAGGCAAATATTGTAACATGAGGGAATGTGGGAAAATGTGACCAAGAGTAAGCATTTGTAGCATGATTGAAACATGTGTTTCTCATATGTATTTATATTAAAAACAAAATGAACATGGTATGATTGTTTTATCTTCCCGGTTTTTATTTATTTATTTATTTATTTCTTTTATTTATTTCTGTTTTCCTTATTTTATTTTACATGAATTTGCCACTGACCAAATATTGCATGTTCACGTGTGTCTTTTCGCTTTTACCACGTTCTTGTATTTGTGTGACGGTCCCTAAATAACAGCACGGTGTTTGTTTTAGTTGTTTACTGTGGACTTGGCTAAAGACGAGCAGCAGCTGCTAACACCAAGAACGATTAGATTCGTAAGTTTGGCAAGTTTTCACTTAGTTAACCAATGAACTTTCTGCACTGGAAGTTTGCAGTACCTTAATAATGCATCGGGTTTATACAGCGCTTTATTGTGACGGTCATTATTGCACGTTTGGTATTGATTTCATAGCTTATGATAGTGTGGCTTTTCTTTTGCAGCAGATCGTTAAAGAGACGACTGTTTCATTGGCTCCATGGCGGATACAGAAGAAGTGTTATGTTTTAACCGATAATTGGTCCATGGACCGAGTATGCGCCTGTCATTAAAGCAGAGGTACCTGGTCCTGCTCTCCGTGGTCGTGTGCTCACTGATCCTTTATCACCGGTCAAGGTAAGACGCAACTTTTCACCTCCCATAACTCCAGCCTGTAATCTTTAGAAAGTGATAAAGGCATCGGAGCACAAAGATACAGGCGGATGTGGACTATAGTCCCTCCACCACTTACACAGTATTAAACACAGTATTAAACATGCATTAGTTTGACCTGTTTCCAGACTTGTGTCTTCTTGTCTCTCTGCCATACACACACAACATTTTCGGTTTATTTTACATGGATTTTTATTATATTACAATTTTGTTGTAGTAGTATTATTACTGTTATTTATTTTACATGATGGGGTTTGATCAATCATTATTATTAATAATAATTTAATTGAATGAATAAATGTTATAATTGAAGTATGATTATTACTTGTTTTATGGTATGTGCTACGTTTTGGTGTTAAAGTTTCATCAAGCAAATCATCAAGGTACATATCGGCCAACTGCTCGGCAGAATTGTCAATTTCTCTCATGAACCAATAGGTGGTTGGTCCTAATCCATGCAATCTCACCTGTTACAACACGAGTATGCACCTCACTGCCCTTTGTCTGTTTACCGTCCTGCAGCGGCTGTCCCACTGTCGTTCATGTATATTCACCATGTTTTAACTATTATTATTTCTATTGTTTCAGCTTTTTTAGAGAAAGAAGAATGAGTCGAACTGATAAACTTCAAGCCAACTCTTCTGAGTTTGTGCTGCGAGGAAAACCGTTTCGTATTTTGGGAGGGTCCATTCATTACTTCCGTGTGCCCAGAGCTTACTGGGAAGACCGCTTACTCAAGATGAAAGCCTGTGGCATCAACACCCTCACAACGTGAGCATAACAGTGCATATGAGAAGTCGTCATACATTTAAAAGGATATGAATTATAAATACATACAACAGTTCCCACCTCTGCACCTTCTCCACCGACTCCCACTGATGACTGCTGTCGTTGTGTCCTTGGGCAAGACACTTAACCCCACTTTGCCCAAAGCCCCCACTGAAAGATCAAGGCTATGCTCACAGTCAGAGAGCAGCCGTCCTCCTGTGGACTCACCACCTGCAGAGGGTCAGTGAGGGGCTGGTGCTATGAGACTTGGGTGGCATCTCTGACTGCCACCCCCCTGACCCAGAAATGGATTAAAGGGTAGAAAATGGATGGATGGATGGATGGACAACAGTTGTGTGGCAGTTTGTTCAGAAATAATCGGCCAAATAACTAATATCAAAATAATCTTTCATTCCAGCCCTAGTATACATATAACACTTTGGTCGGCGGCCAAATTTAAATAGCTGGCCTGGGCTAAGAGTAGTTTTCTTAGTGGACTTTTTACATTGTGAAGGTATTATTACACTTGGATTATATTTATTTAAAGTAAAGCTATTTGGTTGATTTTCCAAAAGAAATTTAGTGTAGTTACTGGTTGTTTAGATTTTTGATAATTTGAAAAACTGAGGCCAACTATTGATTTTATGTATTTATCTATAATTATATGTTGTGTTCACATTTAGAATACATTACATCAAGTTGTTTTCTTGAGAAAATTTTCTTTGAAATGAGGTATGATATGCCATGGTAGCCATAATAACAGACTGATAATATGGATAGTTAATGCATAATGATAGTATAATGTGTCACTAAAACCATTCTTTAAACTAAAAGTGTGAAAGCCTTTCCTTTTTTTTAACAGATATGTGCCCTGGAACCTGCATGAACCCGAGCGAGGCGTTTTTAACTTTGAGGATGATTTGGATTTAGAGTAAGTTCAAACACACAGACTGCAGTCTTTCTTCTGCCGTGTCACAACTATTCCTGAGGAGGGCAGTGTTGCTCTTCAAAGCGTATGCTAGAGGAAATTACCCACAGAACACATGAAAATATCTTTGTGTCACATTATACCAGACAGTTTTTTGGTTCACCTTTATGCAAATTGTTGACAAACTTATTGTGTGTATTTTTCAGAGCTTACCTTAAACTCGCAGAAAACTTAGGCCTTTGGGTGATTCTGCGACCAGGACCCTACATCTGTGCTGAGTGGGATTTAGGAGGACTCCCAAGGTACAAACAAGTCAACCAACCAACCACGTTTTTTTACTCATTTCTAAACAATACATACTTTTATAAATGTTTAGCTGGCTGCTACGAGATCACAACATGAAACTTAGAACTACTTACCCAGGATTTACAAAGGCGGTCGACTCCTACTTTGACCATCTCATTCAAAAAGTTGTTCCGCATCAAGTGAGTTGCAAGTTTCCATAAAAAAAAAAAAATTAAAAAAAGATTTCCAACTATTGACTCTCTGCTCTCTCCCTGTGTTGAAACTTTGCCCAGTACTCTTTAGGAGGCCCGGTCATTGCAGTTCAAGTGGAGAACGAATATGGATCTTTTGCTAAAGACGCACAGTATATGGCTTTCATCAAGGAAGTAAGAATGCAAATATGAAAGTCTTGTGGTAGGCCTAGTTTTTATGCGCTGACTGCTATCGTCTTGTCCTTCGAGGCTTTGGTGTCCAGAGGCATCACAGAGCTGCTGATGACCTCGGACAACACAGCAGGACTCAAGCTGGGAGGAGTGGAAGGAGGTAATAAAGTTGTACAGTACACACATTTACATTTACATTTTATCTATGGATTGATATAGCTGATAAAAAAATGAATGCACTTGTCATACGTCTGTTTTGTTTTGTTTTTCAGCTCTGGAAACAATTAACTTTCAGAAATTAAATCCTAAAGATGTAGCATATCTAGATGCGGTACAGGTAAGTGTTTGTCTCCACCTGATAATATATTAGTTGGTTAAGCTACTGTACATGAAACGTGTCTGTCCAGCCCCAAAGGCCTAAGATGGTGATGGAGTTCTGGTCAGGATGGTTCGATCTGTGGGGAGACCTGCATCATGTGTTCCCAGCCGAGGGTAAGCAGCTACAAACAAAATTACTGTTGGAGGAACTAAGACTTTTCCAACAAGCTTTACCTACTTTCATTTATAATTTATTGATCAATTAAATAGTCTAACACTGACTTAGTAATTGGCGTTTCTCATATCATACTGAGAATCAAGCAGACCGACTTTTATTGAGCACTTTTTGGACATCTATTCAATCCAATCCCCCTTCGACCCTCCAGCCGCCGTTAATCATTCTCTCACACCACACTCGTGCTTGGTCCAGTGGGAAGAGTGTCTTGGCCCCTATGGCACCTGGTTTTCTGGTTTTCCCAGTGGTCTCCCATCACAAACTTAGCCTTTAAGATTTGTCATGTTGAGGCTGATACGAACCTTTGTTAACTGTGTCTTTGGTAGATATGGCGGCTGTTGTCACAGAAATCCTCAGAATGGAAATGTCCATCAACCTGTACATGTTTCATGGAGGGACAAATTTTGGATTCATGAACGGGGCCCTTGCTGTTGGAATTCCATCACCTAAAGCTATGATCACGAGCTATGGTATGTTTGATCACCTGTTACTGTATCGGCAATTGCACCAATCCTGATTTTGAATCAATCAATCAATCATTCTGTAACACTCAGCCCCTCGGAGCGCGCAATACCAAATACATCGAGGTAACTGTGACGCTTTATACCTGCTGTGATTGACCTAACGCTGACCAAAGAAAGACAACCACTCATGAATCTGCTGTGTGTAACGTGTACTCCATTTACTCAGTCCAAAACAAGCAATAATCATAAACAATATGAAAGACTTAGTCCTACCCGCGCCCACCGTATGTCCCACTGTCAAACCTGGTGACGAGTACGTGGCTCCGGTGATAGTCAGTGTAGTTCAAAAGGCAAATCCAAGAGATGACAAAACGATGTAGGTAATCCAAACAGAACGAGAAAGTAATCCAACTGGGAAAGTAATCCAAAACGTTCAGAGTGTGGGCAGAGCGCAGTGAGTGAGAGCGCTCTCCCTCTCCAGCGTATAAAGTTTATAAACAAAACGCGCACAGGCCGTGCGTGAGCGGCAACCGGGCTCTCCTGGCGGGTCCGTCTCGAGGGTCTGTACAGTCCGCTACAATAATCCCTTCACAGATCTCCGACTCAAGTCTCTCGTGGTCTCCTCGAGCCGTGTCCAAAACCAAAAACTCCCCTGTCTCCCTCTCGCGCACCTGATGGCAGGTCTCTGATGAGCGCTCCCTCCCGGGACACGCCCCCCCAGTTCATTCACAAAACAGACCTGTCCCATTAGGCCCAAAACATAAACAAATATACCTAAACACACATTAACACATTTTAAACATTTGTGGCTATGCTACAGAGTCCCCCCCTCCAGCCAGAGGCTACTAGTTGACCATATAACACATTTTAAGATTCACCACATTGACCACGTCCTGCTTACTGGGCAACTCCTCCCATTTGACCAGATAGTTCACAGGCCCCAACTTCCTGACTATGGAGGCTGGCCCGTCCCATCTCGGAGCTAACTTGGCAGAGAACTTCTCACTAGCCTTGGAGAGTGGATGCGCCCGAACCCAGACTTTGTCACCTGCCTCAAACTGCACCTCTTTCCTTCGAGAGTTGTAGTATTTAGCCTGGCGAACCTGGTGTACCCCCATCCTTTTCCTTACCTCTTCCCCTAGTTTTTGTTGTCGCTCAACCGCATCATAAGAGTCTTTTTGCTCAGGGCTGGGTGGTTTGTGAATGAGTCTTTGTAACGGACCATGAAGCAGCCGACCCAGAGCCAGCTCTGCCGGAGTCCTGCCAGTAGTTTCTTGCTGAGCAGTGTTGATAGCGAAACGAAGCTCTGGTAGCCACTGGTCCCACATCTCATGGGAGGGCCCTACGAAGGATGCGATCATGGTTTTGATGGTCCGATTGAACCGTTCAGTGAGGTTAGTTTGAGGGTGGTAACTGGTGGTGAGTTTCTGTATCACCCCCCATGCTTTGCAGAGGTCAGTCAAGAGGCCAGCAGTAAATTGTGGACCTCGGTCCGAGACGAGAAATTTGGGAACCCCCCAACGAGTGAAGATCTCCTCTCGCAGGATCTTAATGATACGGGGAGTTTTGCTATCCCGTAGTGGGAATACCTCCACCCATTTTGAATAGTAATCAACCACCACCACCAGGTAACAGTTTCCCTTTTTGCTTCGGGGAAATGGGCCCATCAGGTCGATGCCCAGCATCTCTCCTGGAGCAGTCACCTGTGTGGACTGGAGAAATCCATGCGGTTTGGTGTTCTCTGGTTTATAACGCTGGCAGCTCTCACAGGACTTTGTGTGTTCCCATACATCTTTGCGTACAGTAGGCCACCAGGCAACCTCCAACACCCTCAGTAGGGTCTTCAGCCGTCCTAGATGCCCACCTAGAGGGTTATCATGGAAATACTGGAGGAACTCTGGGGCTAGGACTTGAGGGACGACAAGCTGGTACTTTTCTCCACCGTCTATTGGAACCTGGCGATAGATCACACCTTGGTGGTTAACAAAAGTGATCCGGTTGGGTTTGGCCTGTCCTGCTTTATTGAGTGTCAGGTCATGGATAAACGGGTCTTGTGTCTGTGCTTTGGCAATCTCGTCTAAGGTGGTTGGCAGGTTTTTGCTGTGTTTCCATCCAGCGAGTGCTAAACAGTGAGTGTTCTGGGATTGTTTCTCACAGGATCGTGACAGTGCGTCTGGTGCAGTGTTGAGGCACCCTTTTCGATAGTGCACTCTGAAGGTGAACTGTTGCAATCGCAGGATCCAGCGTGTCAGACGGGAAGAAGTTTTTGGGCAATTGAAAGCCCAGGCCAGAGCAGCATGGTCAGTGAAGACATCGAAATGGATGCCCTCCAGATAGTGCCTCCACTTCTCTATGGCCCATACCACTGCCAGGCACTCCTTCTCTGATGTAGAATAGTTCTTTTCAGGGCCTCGAAGCATCCGTGAAGCATAGGCTACCACCCTCTCTCCCTCAGGAAAGGGCTGTGAGAGTATGGCTCCCAGCCCAGCCTCACTGGCATCCGTGTGAACTTGGAATGGCAGATTTTGGTTTGGTTGTGCCAGAACAGGTGGGTTGTTGAGAGCCAGCTTGAGGGCCGTGAAACTGGCTTGGCATTCAGAAGTCCATTTCCATTCCACCCCCTTCTTCTTGAGATGGTTCAATGGGGCGGCCATGTCCGCGAAGCCCAGAATGAATTTGTGGTACCAGCCCGCGAGCCCCAGAAAACGCTGCAGTTCTTTAATGTCCTGTGGCACGGGGAACTCTGACACTGCTTTGGTTTTGGATGGATCCACCTCCACACCCCGAGAGGACACGATATGTCCCAAGAACTTTAGTTCTCTCTTGAAGAACTGACACTTCTTCATGTTCAGGCTGAGATTGGCTTCCTGTAGCTTTTGGAAGACAGAGTTCAGGTCTCTAGAATGTTGTTCACGGGACGTAGAGTATACAATGATATCGTCAATGTAAACAAAGCACATCCTGCCTCTCAGCTCTCCCAACACTTTCTCCATCAATCTTTGAAAGGTGGCTGCCGCGTTCCGCAAACCGAAGGGCATGCGTTTTGAACTGGAAGAGTCCCAGAGTCGTGATGAAAGCTGTCTTTTGTTTGCTGTTTTCATCCATGGCTATCTGCCAATACCCCGACTGTAGGTCCAAGGCGCTGAACCATGTCGCACCCTCTAGTGACTCGAGGATCTCATGGATGATTGGCATGGGGTAAGCGTCTGGGAGGGTTTTAGCATTAACCTTGCGAAAGTCTATACAGAATCGCTCCCGGCCATCAGGACGATCGACCATGACCACGGGTGAGGACCAAGATGACTGAGACGGCTCTATGATGTCCTCGTCCAGCATTTTCTCGACATGCTCTTCAATTATTCTCTTTTTGAGGGGAGATACCCTGTAAGCTCGAGATTTAACTGGCACCTCGTCCTGGGTGTAAATTGTGTGTTTTTCCACTGTGGTCTTGCCGAGCACACTGGAAGTCACTGTGGGCCAGGCATTAATGAGTTGAGAAAGTTCATTGGGCTGGTCGACAGAGACAGAGTTCATCAGAGCGGATACGAGGTCCAGCATGGCAGGAATCTGCCCGGTTGGGGTGCGTAATATAAATGCACCCTCGGAACAGTTCTCGTCCATGGACCCGGTCTTGTGGGCGGCAGAAGGAAGGGATGGAAAACATAACCATTTGCTGTTTGTAATCCATAAACGCGTTTAGCCAGGTCTAGGATAACCCCAGCATCAGTCAGAAAATCCAGTCCGATTATCATGGGAAAAGCGAGATGTCTGTCGTCCATAACATGCGCCTCGACACTCAGCTTTCGACCATGCCAGTCCAGTCCGAAGCGTTGTTTTCCCAGGGCAACATGCGCGGTTCCATCCGCCATGACAAACCTCTGGTCCTCTGATGGAATCAAGTCTCTTGAGGTGCCATGGAGGTTCCTCCATAGACCCTCTCGCATGAGCGTGTAGGTACTTCCGGTATCCACCACAGCTACTCCCTGGACATTGCATATGGTAAGAGGAACCAACAGCAGCTCTGCTCTCGGCATTTGGGGCGGTGGAGGTTGGGTGACAACTGCATTGAATTTATTCCCGCCTCTTTTTTCTAGGGCCCTTTTCCCAGTTCCCTCGGTGGAGGCATGCACTTTCTGCCAATAGCCTTTAGCGCTACCACAGTCTTTCTCCACCATGGACCCCACTTTCACCAGGTCTGTGACCGTATGGACAGTTCCTCTCAAACACCCCGCTACTTTTGGATTTGTGTTGTTAAGTATGCGTCTCACGATTTCTTCCTCGGGCATATCCGGTTTCCATTTGAGACACAGGGCCTGGTAATCATAAGCGAAGTCCCGCAGACGTTGGTCGGGCTGCTGCACCAGCTCCCTCAGCTTTTCCTCCACTTCCGCCATATAGTCCGTGGGAAGGAATGCGTTCAAAAATGTCTCTTTAAACATACTCCAATCAAGCACCTGGCCTTTTGCAGCTTTCCACCAGCTTAGCGCAGGTCCCCTCAACACGGAGGATAATGTCCCCATCAGTTCTGGTACCGAGAGTGGGCGTAACTCCAAAAAGTTCTCTGCTTGTTCCACAAAACTCAACACGTCCGCGGTTTCACAACTAGGTCCAAATGTGGGGAAATCCAAACGGACTGGAGGCTTGAAGTAGAACGGGGATACACCAGGCATACTAAAGGTGGCATTAAGGGGAGGGGGACCACCCATGTCAGTGGATACAGCAATGGTTCTCTGATTAATAGGGGTACTAGTGGGACGCAAAGTACTAATCTCTCTTTGCCACTTCTCATCCCTCCTCTTTAAACAGCTAACCATGTTCTTCTCTAACACCTCTATCTTGTCCTGGAATTCCTGTTCCATTTTTGCCAAAGCCCTTTCAACACTCTCCCTAAAGGATGCTTCTCTGTTGAGAGAACTAGACACAGACTCTCTGTGAGTAGTCTCCAGAGCTCCTAGGTGACATTCCAAAACCCTCATTCTGTTCTGCATACTGTCCCAGTCAGTTTGGGAAATGTCCACTCTATTCTCCCTCTGCACCACTACAGGAGTAAGAGGCTCCAACAGCCCTCTCCCAAGAGCTCCCAAAGCCTCCTCCCCATTCTGACTAGTATGGTCGGAATTTTCCTCATTAACTCTGTCCTGTGAGTGAGCCCGTTCTATTCTGTCATCTCCATTCAGACTGACGTCTCCATCATGAAGATACAGTGAGTCTAACAGTGACTCGATATCCCCCGTAGGATTTCTGCGAGCTACGAACGGCCCTGCGGTAAAGTCTGGGTTGTCCTGATCTGCGCTCTCCTGATCCCCCATGTCAACGTAACACACCCACACACACACCCGAGTGGGATATAAAAAAAAAACAAGCGTTTACAAATGTACAAATCACAGACACAATCACATGTCCTCGTACGGGCCACCATATGTAACACTCAGCCCCTCGGAGCGCGCACTACCAAATACATCGAGGTAACTGTGACGCTTTATACCTGCTGTGATTGACCTAACGCTGACCAAAGAAAGACAACCACTCATGAATCTGCTGTGTGTAACGTGTACTCCATTTACTCAGTCCAAAACAAGCAATAATCATAAACAATATGAAAGACTTAGTCCTACCCGCGCCCACCGTATGTCCCACTGTCAAACCTGGTGACGAGTACGTGGCTCCGGTGATAGTCAGTGTAGTTCAAAAGGCAAATCCAAGAGATGACAAAACGATGTAGGTAATCCAAACAGAACGAGAAAGTAATCCAACTGGGAAAGTAATCCAAAACGTTCAGAGTGTGGGCAGAGCGCAGTGAGTGAGAGCGCTCTCCCTCTCCAGCGTATAAAGTTTATAAACAAAACGCGCACAGGCCGTGCGTGAGCGGCAACCGGGCTCTCCTGGCGGGTCCGTCTCGAGGGTCTGTACAGTCCGCTACAATAATCCCTTCACAGATCTCCGACTCAAGTCTCTCGTGGTCTCCTCGAGCCGTGTCCAAAACCAAAAACTCCCCTGTCTCCCTCTCGCGCACCTGATGGCAGGTCTCTGATGAGCGCTCCCTCCCGGGACACGCCCCCCCAGTTCATTCACAAAACAGACCTGTCCCATTAGGCCCAAAACATAAACAAATATACCTAAACACACATTAACACATTTTAAACATTTGTGGCTATGCTACAATTCGACTTTTATTTGTAGAGCGCCTTTCCTACACAAGGCAACACAAAGCGCCTCACAACCCATATCACAGCAAGCATAATCATAAACATAAGAATCTACACAGAAATTCAAAAATATGATTTGAAAATATGATTAAAAACAAACATTAAGATCACAAGAAATATTAAAAACAGTGAAAATCACTTTACATGCTGTGTATGTTTTCAAATCTATCTTCTGCAAGGATTCATGTCCCAACAAACACGCAGTCCTTATGCAAATTAGGCCTCTGACTTTGACCTTTTGCCTTCACCTTCTTTAAAATGTTAAGAAATGCAAATGAACAAAAATGTACTATGGGTTTTATATCTTCCTTCAGGGTGCATAAGATTGTAATGTCCTTCTATAAAAAGGTGATCATTCAAAAGAATTTACACACATGTGGACGTCTTCGCTTTAAAAAGGCTTCCTTTTATGTCAAGAAGAAGATAACCTGAATGTGTGTTGCTCGGCTGCGGCCCGGAGCGTGTGATGGGCCTGGCTCCTCTCTGTTCCGATTACTCTCTATCTTCCAGATTACGACGCTCCATTATCCGAAGCTGGGGATTACACTACCAAGTACCGTCTTCTAAGAAACATCTTCAGCCAATACCACAGTGAGTCTGGTTGTCCTTTGATAGTTTCAAACCAAAGATTTGAGCTGATAAAGGTGCGATCACAGAAACATGATGAGGTTACATTTGTATTCATAAAAGTATACAGCGTTTAGAGTATCGATATGATACTGGAATCGGATATTTATTCTGATATTGGAAAGGTTGTATCAACGGTTTGACATCGGTTTTAATATCAATTGAACTAATATCTTGATTACTTTTTTATGTAAATTACCACTGGCTAATAGTCATCCAGAAAGTTTTTACTTTTACTGGGACTAAGTTGTCCTGGTTTACTGCAGGATGAACAACAATCAAAGGTCTCTGTGATCTAAGGGAAGAAATGTCCTTTTACTGATATTAGTTCTTATTGTATAACGGTAGCTATTTAAAGCTAAAGTATCGGGATTGGTTACAAACTTTAAGTAGCTGGATTTGTGCCTCCCTAGTTCTGTGGGTAAAAGACCAGTGAACGTGTGTTTTTGGCCAAGGATGGAGATGTATCTGAATCTGGGACTGACTCCAACAACAACATTTCTTGATTGAACGGCTGCCTGCATGTTTTATCCTTATAGTGATAAAAGTTACTCTTATATCTGAGAGTCTGCACATGGAAGTCCAAGATATATATATATATATATATATATATATATATACATACACATTATAATTTGAATGTTTTCTATGATCCCACAGCTGAACTATTTATTAATTGGATTTGGCAGAGGAAGTACACTGAATAAGAATCGTTATCAAAATGAACTTAATGAACACCACGTCTGTTTCTGAAATGTCTCTTTTATGTGCAGGATTGGATATTTACAAACCAAAGAGTTTCTTAAGTGATGGTGATGTTAGCACTCACTCTGTGATAAGAAAAACCTGCAGAGTTTTTCCGCAGGGAGAGCTGGTGTCTGAACAAGCTCTCGCACCTTAAAAAGCCGTTAGACGATCAGAGGAGGGCTGTTAACCATTGTAAAGTGGAGAGTTTTATAACACTGTCGATCTTAGCACTTCAGGGAATGGAAAGAAGTAGTGGGGATGAAATGCCAGGCTTTATATCACAAAGACAAAGCCATCCATCAATTAATATTCCAAATCTCTTGCTGCAGCTCAAGATCTCCCTAAAATGCCTTTTCTGCATGAGAGACAAGCATACCAGCCTGCGGTCATTCATCAGCACCTATCTCTATGGGACAGTTTGCAGTTCATTGACAAGGTAATAGACTTATGGGACTTATAGGATCTTTTATAATGTGACTTCACAGCTGCTCTTCCCCTGTGGCGTTTGTACAAGGGTGGAAAGCTGTATTTCAGATTGTGGAAGATGCGTTTCCTCTGATTGTAGCCAGACTTAGCCTTGTCTCTTCTTTGTTATTCATAAGATGCGGCCAAAATGTTTCGATAAAAAATGACTGAACTTTTCATTAGTGCTCAATCACAAAGTCTTGGTGTAATTGCACCTAACGTTACATAATTGTTTAATCAAGACATTGAGAAACGACTAAAGCAATCAGCTGTGGGATTGTAATCACTAACAAAATATGTGCCGATCAAACATGGCACCAGCGACTGGGCTATTCTGGGACACACATGGGTATTGTGTCTCAAAGTGGTAATTCTCAAGTGAATAACATTTCACAGACGCTAAAAGTCACCTACCTTTTATGGTCAATCTATCTGCACTTAATAGCCACAGTGGCCCTGGGGCAGACTGAGCGTTACTGTCAGTCTGATGTCACCTCTGACCAATCGCTCACTAAGCAAGATGAGTGAAGAACGAAACAGTCTCTGCCCATTGTGGAGTTTTAACCTTCAGCCTATTTTTCATTTCAGACAAGTCATTAATGATCTTGTATAATAAAATGTGTTTGCAGTAATGATCTATAAACAATAAACAAATGGCTTATTTGGCTCCAACCCCTCTCGCTCGTTCATTTTCTAGAATTTAATTTTGGAGGGCAGGTGGGAAAGAAAAGTCAGAAAAGCCAGAAAACATCATGCTACTGTTTTTTGAATATTGTCACCTCTTATAAACAGCTTTTATGATGAAATAATTAGATATAATCTATTTTTACTGACAAAGAACATGTGGAACTTTGTGACTGTTTTATTTCATATGTATTGGCCCGGGGATCAAAAAGAAATTAGGTCAGACTTTTGACAGTTACCATAGTTACCAGGAAAGATTTTTTTTAATATCTATAGATAGATATTTTATTGATCCCCGTGGGAGAAATTCTGGTGTCCAGTAGCAGCAAAAACACATCCATCCACACAAAAAAAACAAAAATATTGATCATTCTAAAAATAGTAATGATAAAATGCAACAGCTGTTTGTAAAGTTGTGACATCACTTGAACACAACCTTTTTTGCCTATGCTAACATGTGTGAACTCTGGAGATTTAATGGCTATTTTATGATTTTTCTCCGGTTTCTATTTGCAGCCTTTTAAGTCTGAAAGTCCGGTCAACATGGAGAACCTCCCTGTGAACAACCACAACGGCCAGTCCTACGGCTACACTTTGTACCAGACCCTCATTCACTCTGGTGGGACCCTCAGCTCCAACAAACACATCCGGGACCGAGCTTTGGTGAGGAGAAACTCAAACTTCTTTCGTTTTTGGCACGTTTCAGTTTTGTCTGAACATTGCACTTTTACCCAGCGAGGAGGCACGAGATTTCTTCTGTCATAAGTAACACCACTGGGCGCGCTGAAAATTTACACTCGCGACTTTTTTACACTAATTCTCTGGAGTCGTGTTACAATAACGTGTCATTTTTCGTAGGTTTTTCTCGACAAACAGTTTGTGGGTGTTGTGGATAATGAACTGGAGCTCACATTACCCGAGGGAAAGGTATTACATGTATTTTTTGGTTATTGATTGTTTGTAATTTCAAATATCATGTTTTTCTGAAGGCAATCTATAGACATTTGGTGAAAGAATGTAATTAAGCCGTACATGCAATAATAAAGTGGTTAAAATATAAAACAACTGGACTGATTTGAACTATTTTTCTTTGATGTTTGTTCTCCAGGAAAAAAGAACTCTGAGCCTTTTGGTGGAGAATGCTGGTCGAGTGAATTATGGAAAAACTCTGGACGACCAACGCAAAGGTACCATTTGGGTTTAAATTAGAGCAAAATCCTATTAAATACAGACAAACTAACAAGTGTATCTTTTGTTCCAGGTATCGTTGGGGACATAGAGTTGAACAAGCAGCCTTTGAGAGACTTCCTTATTTATAGTTTGGAAATGAAGCCTGCTTTTGTAAACAAGTCAGTGTTATCTACTCTCAGTTTCTTTGTACAATCTTTCATTACACCTCCTCCTCTCTGCTCCATTTCTGATGACAACGCTACAATAACTCAAATGTGATTTCATTCTTCGTTTTTTTTTATTTCTTGTCTCTGGCTATACATGCAGGGAACTTTATTATACCATATACGGTCCAAACCAAGGCCCACGGGCAAAATTCCGGTCCTCTTTTTCATGTAATGTCAGATCACAGTTTAGCTACATCAAATTGCAAGTTTTCATTCATAACCTAATTATCATTTGTAAGCATAGAATACATAGACATTAAAAACAATACAAGCTGACAATTAGGGGTGTGACGATATATCGCGATACTTTCTCCCGCGATTCGATTATCGATATGCATTGGTCAAGTATCGATATTGATTTTATAAAATATATATATATATATATATATATATATATATATATATATAATACAATTTTTTTTCAATATATATATATATATATATATATATATTTTATTACTTAATATATGGCTACATAGCGCATCTCCATTCCATTTATCATGAAATAAAGTGTATTTTCTCTTTTATTTATGCCATAAATTGGCATATATTTCTAAACCAATATATCAAAATCGTTATTGTGATATCGTTATTGTGATAATATCGTTATTGTGAGCTTTGTATCGTATCGTATCCAGGTACCCATAGACTGTATATATTAATGGACAGAGTCACGCCTATCTCCGCTGTTCTAACTAATGGGCCAAAAAATGTGCTCTACTGGAGCTATCCAAAATGGCCGCGAGTGGTCCCGCCCACAGGAAAATTGTGAAAAAACGCATCTGCGCATGCGTCAGCCGGCGAGAGCTCCATTCATTTGAACGAGAGACTTAAAAAATTCACAGCAAGTAAACTAGAGTGGACCAAAAAAATCCACCCCCCTCAGCATTGACACACATGTGGAACGGAGCTTTGGGCCAAGAGCCAACTTTTGGTCCATCCTGTAAAGACGTTTTTGAGAGGTCTGCCGATGCTATATGTTAGCATTGGCTAATTCTACTTCTGGGTCCACCCCCATCGGCCCGGGGTGGTATTGCAAGCATGTCAGCGCACGTCATTTTGGCCACTTTTGAGCCGGGACCCTCCCCCACTGGAGGTACCCTTAGGTTCCCACCCCTACTGACAATGTGAAAAGATTTAAGACCATGAATCATTATCATTATTTCATTTTAGGCAAATATATATGAAAGTGTTCCCTTCCACACTATCTGATATCACCTAGTAATTTACAGTCCAGGATCACTGTTACCAGTTTATTCTAACCCTAACCCTTCAAAATCAATCATTGATCCTAGACAAACAACATTGATTACTTGGTGATTTCAGATCATGCTTCTGTAAGTATGAATAGAGCACAAACTGCAGAATGGCATTGGATTAAGATTGCATAATTCTATTATAATGAACTCATTTTTGTTTTGATGACGCAAAATGTTATTACTTTTTTTCTAGATTTTAAATTGCACTAATGGAAATCCTCAAAAGACCTTTAAGGCGTTGGATGAGTCAGGGACAGAAATTAAATAAACCTCAGTGGAACACAATCTTACTTTCTACTTTCCCTGGTAATAATCAAAGAGAAACATTGCTGCGATATACAACACAACACAAATTCAGTTCTATATCTACAATATCTTTGCTCAATGATCCCTTTCTACTAATTGTGCAGCAAAATCATAGTTATACATACTGTTATTTTACACCAATCCATTAACCTTGGTCCTTTTTTCCTCAGATTGCAGACGTCAGGAGACTGGATCCATATGCACCAGAAGCCAATATTCCCAGGATTTTTCCAAACCAAGCTCCATATAAGGACCCAGCCCAAAGATACCTTTATTAAACTTCCTGTGAGTTTGACGTTTGAGGAGTTCAATAAGTTTAAGAGACATATTATTTTAAATGTTTTTAGATTCATCAACGCTAATATCAGGAATTTCGGGCACAAACATAAGCTGGAAAAGCCCACACACAATTGTAAAGATTACTCATTAGTTACTAAACCTGTAACTCCGCCCCTTCTGTCTCTAACCCCCTGTCTCAGTCCTGTAATGGTATGGAGCTATTGTATCACTATGACATCACACTAAGAGCAGTTTTTTGTCTTTAAAAACTAAACTTTTCCTCATGAATTAGTTTTGGTGATTTATCAGGTGAAATCAGGTGTTTTTCCTGTGTTTACAGCAGGTTAATTTCAAATGAGAAAAACAAAACAAGCTAGCCTGGTCGTACCACACCATCGTACAAATTACATTTCGTACTGAGGTGTCGGAGGTGCTCCATTGAGCTCAGTTTACAGATAGAAGGGGTTAACTCCTTTTGCAGATTGAAACGATTGGATCTGAGTTTACCATGACGTATGTAGTGTGCCCGAGTGAGTCGTTAGCATTTAGCAATGGCCTAGTCTACTTTGCTGCTATCGGAGTCGGTTATCTCCATCTGAACAGAAGCAACAAAAGATCCAGAGGGAACGACTTATGAACGAATATTTCTGCAGCTCTGAACAACTTCCAGTCCAGTCCGCTACAATTTTTTCCAGCGATTACATTTGCTAAACATTCCTATTGCTCCGGCTTCAATTTCTTGATAGAACCAGACCGGATTACTTTACTATCGCATTTCTCGCCATTGCGAAACTACGACCTGCCTGTTCGACGCAAACTCTTGACATCACCCACAACTAACTACAACACCTGCCTTCCGCGCTCTCTGAATGGTCGGTCAAAATTCAACCGATTGTAATCGCTAACATGGGGACCAGACCCAGGCGTTACATGCAGTGAAATGATGATTGAGCGGAGTGTACGGATGGCTAAGACCAGGCTAGGATAGGGCAGGCCAATATCCCTGTTTACACTTGATATTTGTTTCACCATAGACTGTATTTTCTGTATTTTTATCAATCAAGGCAGTTCATATAGTGAAATAAGATTACTGTGTGCTTCATGTAATAAATTGTAATGAAATCTAGGAATCAGGAAGTGAGTGTTTGGCATAATCTTGCTTGTTGACAACAAACAAATTGCATGTTTTATTTAACTTATACTAGCAGTGTGTGTATAACTTATATAATTAAGATATTATTTCACATTATAAAACATGAAATGACAAAGTAAAAAGTCTTAGTATTATTTTAATGGCATAACAAATAAATAAAACCAAGTCGTGATATGTGTTCCTGTGTGTTCAGGGCTGGGGAAAAGGTGTTGTCTTTGTCAATGGAAGAAATCTGGGACGGCACAATTCAGTTGGGCCACAGCAGACTCTGTATCTGCCGGCCCCTTGGCTCAGCAGAGGAGAAAACCAGGTCTGCATGTGTTGTACATTTTTATCACACAATTATACAATAAAGTTTAGTGAGGAGTGGTAGATTTGTGGTTGAGTCATGTAACAAATTCTTGGCCAGTTTAGCACCAAAGCCTTATTACTGCGGGTGCACAATGGTTTATGAACGTTTCTTACAGTTGATGGTTTTCGAAGAGGAAGAATCCGATGGTAAAATCCAGTTCTCCTCGAGCGCTGACTACGGCATGACTGTGGATGTCCAATAAAAGGAGACGGCAACACATAAACCACCCCAAAATATGTCTTAAGGATACTTCATCCAATCTGCATTCTCCAGAGTGTGCGTCTTATTTTACAAAATGAAAAACAACTTAATACAAGGCTGCTTTTAAAGGTTATGTTATGGGTTTGCCTGTGGGTCTACACGAAGCTACTGTAAAATGTTATTTATTAAAAGATCTTTATGATGTAATTTGAAGTTATGAAAATGTGTCTAATGTCTTCCTAATAAATATGTTTGTACCTTTGCATATGTAAGTTTTGGGTAGCAGACATAGTAAAGAGTGTGTGTGTGTTTGTGCGCGTGTGTGTAGGTGTGGAAAGGTTTCAGCTTGTATATTTTTACACGGGTGATCAATTCTGATGATGTTGAGAATGTCACCAATTTGGAAACTACATTTTTCTATGCTGCCCCAGTTTCCGTGTGCCATGTGTCATTTCCATTTTGCCCTCAAAGTATCATAAATCATTATGATCACTGCAAAAAAAAGAAAACAAAAATATACGTTTTTTAAAATAAGTATAAAGTAGGCATAATCTACATTTTGACTATCTTAAATCAAGATTTGCCAATGGGATAAGCAAAATTGTGTTGTTTTAGTAAGACACAAGAAAATTCATGAACATTTCCCCTGGAATGAGAAATAAATTGCAGCTGGACTTGAAATCTTGTTTTGCGAAGGTAAAAATGCACTCAAAAAATCCTTGATTTAAGGCGGTGTTGCTTTGTATATATACATGTTCTGCAGTTATCACACTGGTTATAGAAGATTGAAGGACACTAGTCTGTTTACACAACCAAACTAATTAGTATATACCCTGGAATCATACATTGTTTGCTGTAATGTGGCATATATTAGTAATTTATGGGTTTTGAATGCAAAGAATGATAAATGTAGGCAAATAAACGTAATAACGCTGGGTTATAAATGTTTTGTCTTATAAATAATACATAATAATATGCATAACAATAATAATGTTGTAAAAGTGAAAGACCACAACACACTTCATCTCATAAAAACAAGTTTTCTTTTGCACGCTTGTAAGAGCCGAATCACTGTTTAACTCTTGGCTGAGTGAGGGTGGTCCTTTCTCTTTCACTTTTCTGTCTGTAAAAGCTGATTTCAAGACATGACAGAAGCCAAATTACTGTACATGCATATGAAGGGTAGTGATGTTTTTTTTCCCCTTGTAGCATTTTGATGTGGTGTGAAAATGAAGCAGTTAAAAAAAAGGCTGGGACTCGATTAAAAAAATTAATAAGCTTAAGCAACACATGTTCATGGTGGATGATAAGGGGATCAGACGGACTTCTTTCCATCAAATAACGTATCTGTCATCGCCTCCACACACTCTGTCCCCAACATACGCTTTGAATATCCAAAATCCACTGCACTCGAAGTGAGCACTAAAGCTTTTAATACGTTTGTGCATTCAAACTAAAACATCAACAATAGCAGCTCACACACCTGTGTCACTGCTGCTCCTCCTCCTCCTTCTCTGAGGAGTCGCTTGCTACTGCTCCTCCTCACACACCATAGCTCCATCAGTGGGGGCGGGTCCCGGCTCAAAAGTGGCCAAAATGACGTGCGCTGACATGCTTGCAATACCACCCCGGGCCGATGGGGGTGGACCCAGAAGTAGAATTAGCCAATGCTAACATATAGCATCGGCAGACCTCTCAAAAACGTCTTTACAGGATGGACCAAAAGTTGGCTCTTGGCCCAAAGCTCCGTTCCACATGTGTGCCAATGCTGAGGGGGGTGGATTTTTTTGGTCCACTCTAGTTTACTTGCTGTGAATTTTTGAAGTCTCTCGTTCAAATGAATGGAGCTGCGCCAGCTGACGCATGCGCAGATGCGTTTTTTCACAATTTTTTTGTGGGCGGGACAACTCGCGGCCATCTTGGATTGCTCCATGAAAGCACTTTTCATGGCCAACTCCTAAGAACGGCAGAGATAGACGTGACTCTGTCCGTTATTATATACAGTCTATGGTTAGAATGGCGGAGATAGGCGTGACTCTGTCTGTTAATATATACAGTCTATGAGCTCCATACACAACGCTCTTTCCCTTCTCTAACCATGGATCTAATTCACTCAGATTTAGACACCGGCTAAAGTTGGTCTATATGGGGTGCCGTTTGTAAAAATTCTGTTAAAATTTTTTAGCTGATCACAGGGCTTAAAGTTTTCCGGCACCGTGCCGGAAATCCGGCGTGAGGAAAAAAAAAAAAAAAACATCACTTTTTTTTTTTTATTTTTTTTTTAATATATATATAAATAAATAATGATTGCTGTCATTTGAAAAAAGGTTCAAGTGTGTTCTACCAATTGTATGAAAGGATTGCATGATGTATTTATTGCCAACAACTGATGTTTATAATAAACATCAGTTGTTGGCATTAAATAGATATAAATTATATGTATGAGCGTATAAAGGCGCTTATAAAAAACGCTTATTAGTGATCATTCTATGATTCATATAGATGGTTCAGGCTCAGGAATTTTTTCAACTTTAACCCATGTGATCATTTTTCTACATTTAGCTCACTTTCCTCACATTTAGCACATTTTCCTCACATTTAAGACATATCTATATCTAAATATTATATCTATATCTAAATGTTAAATGTTATATCTAAATATTATATCTATATCTAAATGTTATATCTATATCTAAATGTTAAATCTAAATGTTAAATCTAAATGTTAAATCTAAATGTTATATCTATATCTAAATGTTATATCTATATCTAAATATTATATCTATATCTAAATGTTAAATGTTATATCTAAATATTATATCTATATCTAAATGTTAAATCTATATCTAAATGTTAAATCTATATCTAAATGTTAAATCTAAATGTTAAATCTAAATGTTAAATCTAAATGTTAAATCTAAATGTGTCGCCAAGTGTAAAGCTAAATATATAGAAACCACGCCCACTGCAGTGGCTTCAAATCCAGTGGGCCCGCCTTCCGTGCCGTGTGGTGAGAACCCTACAGCAGCCATTCCCAAACTCAGTAACACCGAGGCCCCCTTAAAAATCTGACGGGTCTACGTGGCCCCCCAAAATAATAACCAAGAAGACAACATTAAGAATAGGCTCTTCTGGTTATTTTATTTTGGGGAAATAGCCTCTGCTACAAACATTGTAATACAAAAATGATTACAGTGGCTTATTCAAGTCAAATAATGAACACAAATATTTTAATATTACAAACAAAACATTATAAATTTAACATTAAATATATATATATATTTTTTTATGACCTCCCGCGGCCCCCCTGCAGTACCCTCGCGGCCCACCAGGGGGCCGCGGACCCCACTTTGGGAGACACTGCCCTACAGGATTACACAGGAATCTCACGGGACTCCACGTGGCTTAGTTTACAGTGAATACACTCTGGCTCCAGCAAATAAGCAAGAATCTTCACAAAAATGCTAATTTTGTGCCGTGGCCAAGGACGATGGCGCCGGAGACCCAACATGCCTTGAGCCGTGACGTCGGTCCACGTGTATTCCTATGTTCAAAACACGCGGCACCGCCCCCACTCACCACACGGCACGGAAGGCGGGCCCACTGGATTTGAAGCCACTGCAGTGGGCGTGGTTTCTATATATTTAGCTTTACACTTGGCGACACATTTAGATTTAACATTTAGATTTAACATTTAGATATAGATTTAACATTTAGATATAGATATAACATTTAGATATAGATATAATATTTAGATATAACATTTAACATTTAGATATAGATATAATATTTAGATATAGATATAACATTTAGATATAGATATAACATTTAGATATAGATTTAACATTTAGATTTAACATTTAGATTTAACATTTAGATTTAACATTTAGATTTAACATTTAGATTTAACATTTAGATTTAACATTTAGATATAGATATAATATTTAGATATAACATTTAACATTTAGATATAGATATAATATTTAGATATAGATATGTCTTAAATGTGAGGAAAATGTGCTAAATGTGAGGAAAGTGAGCTAAATGTAGAAAAATGTTCAGCTAAAAAATTTTAACAGAATTTTTACAAACGGCACCCCATAGGTCTATGCTCGTTATGATGTACTTCTGAACAAGAAAAGTCACGGAGCTCAGTTGGCGCTCCAGTATAATCAGTCAGTCTGAAACTCATCCTCCAGTGGGGAAGGTTCCGCAGTGGAAAAAACACATGCGATTAAACTGCGTCAATTTTTTTAACGCACTAATTTTTGTGGCATTAATTAATCGTAATGGGCTCTATGCAGGCACCACTTCCGTGTTTTAGCTACTACCCCACTTCACTTCCTGTTCGTGGGAAGTGGCTTGAGTTTCACTGGAGTTCAGCAGTGGTTTACACGAGTTTCCCAAACAATGCTCAAACGGGAATTAAACTGTGAGAATACTGGGCATTTTTGGGACACAGCAGTGCTCTTTGATTGTGCTGTCATTGTGTTTTTATAAATTTGACAAATCGCTCTGAGTGGCCACAGTCAAAGCTCTACCTCAGAATGTATCTGAATGTATGTACAGCTAAATGCATCAATCTAATTACTAAAAAACGTCACTAAAACCCACCTAAAAGCCATAGGATAGCATAGGCAGGAAGTGAAAGGGCTGTGCTTTGTTAACAGGAAATGACATCACGCCTCCCTGTGCATGTAGCCCATAAACGTGTTAAAGTCCCGGCCCTAAAAAAAACACTGCAAATTTAAGCTCTACTTTCCAAAGAGCACTCAACGGAGTTACCTGAAAGTACGTTCCAGGAAAAAGAACACCACGGACACATTTTTTCATCAGAGCAGTTTATTTTCTCAATCGGACGAACATCTTTCTCTGAACCGCTGTGGCAAAGAAACAACTGTAGGAGTCACATGCATAAAGTGTGAAATGAGGCGCAGAAGTGACACTGGTGTGAGTGGAAGAGGACGAGATGGATGAAAAGTGGATTGTGCCTTAAGAGAG